GATATGTCAGACACCCATTGAGTGTAGATATGTCAGACACCCATTGAGTGTAGATATGTAAGACACCCATTGCGTGTAGATATGTCAGACACAATTGAGTGTAGATATGTCAGACATCCATTGAGTGTAGATATGTCAGACACCCATTGAGTGTAGATATTCAGTCATGAGTGTAGATATGTCCCCATTGAGTGTAGATATGTCAGACACCCCATTGAGTGTAGATGTCGAAACCCACATTGTCAGATATGTCAGACACCGTTGTGTGTAGATATGTCAGACACCCATTGAGTGTAGATATGTCAGACACCCATTGTGTGTAGATATGTCAGACACCCGTTGTGTGTAGATTTGTCAGACACCCATTGAGTGTAGATATGTCAGACACCCATTGAGTGTAGATATGTCAGACACCCATTGAGTGTAGATATGTCAGACACCCGTTGTGTGTAGATATGTCAGACACCCATTGAGTGTAGATATGTCAGACACCCATTGAGTGTAGATATGTCAGACACCCATTGAGTGTAGATATGTCAGACACCCGTTGTGTGTGTGACGTGACGGGTGGATTAAATGTTTATAATGTTGAGTAGGGATGTTCCTCTCAACACATTCCCTCCACCAGATTAACGGAACTAAAATCTGAGCTAAGTTGCTCTCAGACAAAGTCCTGGATACCCAAGAAAACAACCATATTGGCTCGTTAAGTACTTTAACATTAGCTGCACTTGGTACCCACAAGAGAAGGCAAGGAATTTTAGATGTCTATCATACTTAATGAATTATTAGACAGGGCAAGTGATTCCTTCGTCATCTACCTTCTCCCGGTGTTATTATTAATAATTAAAGAATTATTATATTATTTGAGCCCCCACCAAATGGTATTCTATCCTAACAGTTTAATTTAACATGTAAGAACAGACATTTGGAATTTAACAAACTATGTAGTTTAAAACTTGACATACAGCTTTATTTACTACAATGAAATTCCCAGTTTGTTGATTTACACAAACAGTGACTGGGTAACGTGATAAGTGATAAGCTTCAGCGAGACAAACAGCTCGGGGTTTAGAGTGGTATGATAATGATGATAATAGGTTAACATAAAGGGGTTAACTCAACTTATAAGCCTCTGACAGCCGTGAGGAACTGTCAAGCTTGTCCAACTCTTCCTTGCCTGTTGTCTGCCTGTTTCAGCTTATTCTCCACTTCATCCCCACCTTGTTCTCCACATTGTTCTCCACCTCATTCTCCACCTCGTTCTCCACCTCGTTCTCCACCTCGTTCCCAGCTGGCCGAGTCTAACACAATGTAGTCTCTTTCATGGACTGATCGTCACATGGGCGCTGTAATCATGGAAACAAAACACATACGTGTAGTATCTTGACTTACACTAAGAATACATGTATCAATTAATATAACATAGAATAATAAAATATAGCCCATCACTCCTCCTCATGTTCCACATCCTCTCCAGTCTAGTCTGAAGGTCTTTTGTCTTACATGGGCGTCACATATCCTGCCTTCCCTCTTCATGCTATGTCATGATAGTTGACTTTCTAAGTCTGTTGTCCGTCATCACTCAGACTTCCAACAACTGGCTGACATTGATATTACATGACCACGTGGAGCAGGTTAAGTGCTGAAAACGCAAACAATTTATATGTGCACGCTGTCTTGAATATTATCTTTCAGTGACCGTGAATTCTATACACCCATCATCCTTCCCCTGGGGTTATAAATCCCCTGTTCAGGTGAACACATTAAGTGAGCACATGGTGGGCACACAAACCTAGCAGCATCCCTGCACATATTTGGGCATCATTTCCCACAGTCCAAACTCATATTTTGGTAGATCATGGAAACAATATAATTACATTTCATTACAGCAAATGTCATTGTTCACGTCTTATTTTATACACATGAAAACATACACTGAAAAATATGTGACACAAAGATACAAGAAATAGGAATAGTTTAGCAGTTCCCTAACTTGAGATACTGAATACTCACAGAACTATTTCAAGCAGAATGTGCAGACAAATTAGGAAAAGGTAGTATAGACTAAGCTTAACTCCCTAACCTAAGTATACAAGATTAAAATTAATATTTTCTCTTACCTGGGAACTTTTCCATCTATCGCCAAACCAGAGTACGACAGTAAAATATACCTTTATGTCGACCTGTGTTTGTTTGCCGGCAGGCTGCGATTAATGATGGGAATTCCACAGGCTCGAAGTATAAGTATCAATCTATTGTCCAAATTAAACTCCTCCCTTTACTGAGTTCTGCCCAACCCTCAAGACGATGACATAAGCCACGCCTCCGGAGTACCCAACAGATCAACTTGGCTAACAAGTGGCCTGTCAGTCAATTCTGGACTGACATCCCTAGAGCAAACATTCTTAAGTGCCCAAATCTAGTTTACACCGAATCTAACTGGCCGGTGTGAAAGACGGTCAGTGAAGCCATTGTGTTTCCTACGTGACCAAGATCAAGATAAAACATTCCTAATTGCCAAACACCTGTTCTCTCCAGAATTACACTGACGTGTTAAACTCCAACCTCCCGGCTCCACAATGTCTAGCGTCTACTCAATTTACCTGTTCAAAAGGGCCCCGCTCAGTCTCTACAGTCTGGTCAGGAGATAACATTCTGACACTGGCATGAGAATAGAATTCCTAGCTACAGTGTAAAGTTTTAGGTAATATTACCAAAGACTTAGTCGCTTTGTCTGGACTAAGGACTGGAAACGTTTAAATCAATACGGTTTAAAGTAACATTTGGTTTAAGGGCATAGTCTCTTGTCTCTCAATAACCATAAGAACTTATTACAAGTACTAACTTCTGGAATCACTGAGATCGTATCGTGACAGTGTTTAGATATGTAAGACACCCATTGAGTGTAGATATGTCAGACACCCGTTGAGTGTAGATATGTCAGACACCCATTGAGTGTAGATATGTCAGACACCCATTGAGTGTAGATATGTCAGACACCCATTGTGTGTAGATATGTCAGACACCCGTTGTGTGTAGATATGTCAGACATCCATTGAGTGTAGATATGTCAGACACCCGTTGTGTGTAGATATGTCAGACACCCATTGAGTGTAGATATGTCAGACACCCATTGAGTGTAGATATGTCAGACACCCGTTGAGTGTAGATATGTCACACACCCATTGAGTGTAGATATGTCACACACCCATTGAGTGTAGATATGTCACACACCCATTGAGTGTAGATATGTCAGACACCCATTGAGTGTAGATATGTCAGACACCCGTTGTGTGTAGATATGTCAGACACCCGTTGTGTGTAGATATGTCAGACACCCGTTGTGTGTAGATATGTCAGACACCCGTTGTGTGTAGATATGTCAGACACCCGACATGACGTGTCAAGGAGAATATATTTTGTTGGATGACAGTAGACATGAGATGTTAGTTGCTGTTGGATGTCAGTAGACATGAGATGTTAGTTGCTGTTGGATAAAAGTAGACATGAGATGTTAGTTGCTGTTGGATGAAAGTAGACATGAGATGTTAGTTGCTGTTGGATGTCAGTAGACATGAGATGTTAGTTGCTGTTGGATGAAAGTAGACATGAGATGTTAGTTGCTGTTGGATGAAAGTAGACATGAGATGTTAGTTGCTGTTGGATGACAGTAGACGGAAGATGCCAGTTGCTGTTGGATGACAGTAGACATGAGATGTTAGTTGCTGTTGGATGAAAGTAGACATGAGATGTTAGTTGCTGTTGGATGACAGTAGACGGAAGATGCCAGTTGCTGTTGGATGACAGTAGACATGAGATGTTAGTTGCTGTTGGATGACAGTAGACGTAAGATGTCAGTTGCTGTTGGATGACAGTAGACATGAGATGTTAGTTGCTGTTGGATGACAGTAGACATGAAATGTAGTTGCTATTGGATGAAAGTAGACATGAGATGTAGATGCTTTTGGATGACAGTAGACATGAGATGTCAGTTGCTGTTGGATGACAATAGACATGAGATGTCAGTTGCTGTTGATGAAAGCAGACATGAGATGTTAGTTGCTGTTGGATGACAGTAGACATGAGATGTTAGTTGCTGTTGGATGACAATAGACATGAGATGTTAGTTGCTGTTGGATGAAAGTAGACATGTTAATTATTTGATGAAAGCAGACTTGAGAGTTTGTTGATCAATGGTATTTCTCTTTGCCAGGGCTTATTTAAATTTCCTGCGAGCTGCAGAGCTGAACCACACTAGAGCTAAAGAGTACTTGGCCTTCGGTTATCTGTTCGGTGACTACCTTCCGCAGAATGTCACCCGAGCTACGGAACTATTTAACGAGCTCGCTGACAGAGGCTCGCCAAAGGCTCAAATGGTAGGTCTCTTCTGGTTGCTTGACATCTGTCATCATCATCATCATTATTATTGATTGTAATCATCATTATCATTTTTAATATCAGCATTTTTGGGTGTATTCCTTATCCAGGGCCTTGCTCTCAAGTTCAGAAAGGTTAAGATCTCGTAACAGGCCATCACCTCATCATACAGTAACACCTCAAATACAGGGTTCGCAGCTGGTCTTGAAAACTGGACAAATCCTTCAACAGAATGATTGCCCTTGAAGTTTGGCCGCCCTAATAAGAGAAATGGAAATAAAACAAACTATTGTAGGAAGACCTAAGATTTATGTCCATGTGACTGTTTTTGTCTACCTTCACAAAAAAATGTTGCGGTTGTGTCCGACTAGAGGGCAGTCGATGGTCTGTCACTGTTTGGTTTGCAGTTGCTGTATGGAGGGACTTCATCACATGTATTGTACTAGAACTACCCCCTATGTTGACATCAGATCTGCATGTTGCCGTTTGCTGCTAAAATAGGTAGTTGAAGGCAATGGTGAGCTGTGTTGCTACAGGTTCACTACACAGACTGAAGCTAGTGTTGACCAAGAGAAAAAAAATAGGACTCAGGGGTCAGTCATCACAGGATAACCAGCTGACTCAGGGGTCAGTCATCACAGGATAACCAGCTGACTCAGGGGTCAGTCATCACAGGATAACCAGCTGACTCAGGGGTCAGTCATCACAGGATAACCAGCTGACTCAGGGGTCAGTCATCACAGGATAACCAGCTGACTCAGGGGTCAGTCATCACAGGATAACCAGCTGACTCAGGGGTCAGTCATCACAGGATAACCAGCTGGGGACCATCAAAGCAGCAATCAGGTGATTTTACTGCCTATGTCCACAGCTCAAAAACCTTGTTTCAGCAAAGCAGTCATGTTCAGTCAGGTGTGCCAGTAATGAAAGCAGTCATGTTCAGTCAGGTGTGCCAGTAATGAAAGCAGTCATGTTCAGTCAGGTGTGCCAGTAATGAAAGCAGTCAGGTGTGCCAGTAATGAAAGCAGTCATGTTCAGTCAGGTGTGCCAGTAATGAAAGCAGTCATGTTCAGTCAGGTGTGCCAGTAATGAAAGCAGTCATGTTCAGTGAAGTGTGCCAGTAATGAAAGCAGTCATGTTCAGTCAGGTGTGCCAGTAATGAAAGCAGTCATGTTCAGTGCTGTGTGCCAGTAATGAAAGCAGTCATGTTCAGTGCGGTGTGCCAGTAAAAAAAGCAGTCATGTTCAGTGAGGTGTGCCAGTAATGAAAGCAGTCATGTTCAGTCAGGTGTGCCAGTAATGAAAGCAGTCATGTTCACTGAGGTGTGCCAGTAATGAAAGCAGTCATGTTCAGTCAGGTGTGCCAGTAATGAAAGCAGTCATGTTCAGTCAGGTGTGCCAGTAATGAAAGCAGCCATGTTCAGTGCAGTGTGCCAGTAATGAAAGCAGTCATGTGCAGTGAGGTGTGCCAGTAATGAAAGCAGTCATGTGCACTGAGGTGTGCCAGCAATGAAAGCAGTCATGTTCAGTCAGGTGTGCCAGTAATGAAAGCAGTCATGTTCACTGAGGTGTGCCAGTAATGAGTTGTGCATGTTTTTGTAATGCCTTTGACCTGGTGGTGTTGACTGTAGCTGTTTGTTTCTGCTCATTCAGGGACTGGCTTTCATGTACAGCGCTGGCTTCCATTACAACTCCAGCCAGGCCAAGGTATGAATGTAGTCTCCTCGTGTTTGGTCACCTCTCCACATAAGCTCTCTGTTTGTCTGTGCTTGTTCTATGTTTATCCCTCCACACATTCTGTCTGTCTGTGCTTGTTCGGTTTTCATTTCTCCAAACATGAAGTCTGTCCATGCTTTGTGTATGTTTATCTCTCAGCACATGATATCTGTCACTTGCTTGTCCTATGTTTATCTCTCTACAAATGCTGTCTGTCTGTCTGCTTGTTCTATATTTATCTCTCCCACACATGCTGTCTGTCTGTCTGCTTGTTCTGTGTTTATCTCTCCACACATTCTGTCTGTCTGTGCTTGTTCTGTGTTTATGTCCCCCACACATTCTGTCTGTCGTCTGTGCTTGTTCTGTGTTTATGTCCCCCACACATTCTGTCTGTAGTCTGTGCTTGTTCTGTGTTTATGTCCCCCACACATTCTGTCTGTCGTCTGTGCTTGTTCTGTGTTTATGTCCCCCACACATTTTGTCTCTGCACTCTCAGGTTGATAGGGAGAGACTATAAAAAATGATAAAGTTCCGTTACAAAATAGTTAGGGGATCAGTTTGATGATGATAGACCAGAAGTATATTTGCAGGACAACAGTGAAGGCACACTGATGCTGGAAGTTGTACCTGGAGAAAGGAAAGGCACCTTGGCCAGACAACATTCTGCTGGAGAACAACTAGAGCCTTAAGACATTTTGGAATTGAAATAAAAAACAACAATTAAAAATTGTTAAATGGCATTTATAATAGTGGGTATATTCTTATGACCTATTAAAATCTATATTTATTGCTCTGCCAAAGAAATCAGGCACTTTAAAATGGGAAGACTATCTAAGTCTTATGAGTCATGTGACAAAAATGTTACCGAGAATCATTATGAGAAGAATAAGAAACAAGATTAAACTAGAAATTAGTGAAAAACAGTATGGATTTGTTCTCTGGAAAAGGTACAAATAATGCCATATACATGCTCAGAACTCTTTTGGATAGAGCCGTAGAAGTATTAGAACAATCTTTACTTACGCTTCATTGACTAAATGAAAACATTTGATTGTGTGAAACATGAAAAAATAATTATTGGAAAAATAAAACAATTATGGAAAAGTTTTACGAAATATAAAGAACATGTATTGGCAGCAAACAACAGCTAAAAGAATTAATAACCAGCTGGGGACATTTCAGAGCACAGAGAGGGCAATAAGACAAGGATGTGTACTATCACCTGATTTGTTTACATTGTTCAGTGAATATGTAATGAGATCTGTCACGAATATGATAGGAAATGTGGTTGGTGGTCATAACATAAACAACCTGCATTGTGGTGATGACAAGGTCTTGAATGCTACAAGTAAGAAAGAACTACACACATTTATAGATGTGATGGTTGTAGAAAGTGATAAATTAGGTCTAAGCTTGTCAATAACGGAAAGTCAGAAGCAATGGTAATAACCAGGATAGAATAGGAACTAAATGTCACGTAACAGCCCACACGCCTTTCATCTTAGACTCGTCTAGATCCTGTCATCTCTGTGCAGATGATGCTAAGTTTAAAAATCGACTTGCCTCTATAGATATATAGTCCACTTTTTAAAAAATTTAGATCTTTAGATTGAGTTAGGTACTCTTATGTGTCATAATTCTCTTGCGAACGTTATAGTTTTGAATCTATAATTGTAGGTGAGAGATTCATTGCTAATTATTGTCAAAAGTCTTATAAGCAAATCACCACCTGGGCTGATGAATCTTTCCCCGCCTTCTTCGAGATTGACGTATGAGTTGGGACGATTCTCAGCCCAGCTTCCAGCAAGAGCAGACACTTTCTGCCTTTGCGCTAAATTATGGTTGGGATTTAGGATCATTTATGTTTCCTACAAGAATCCAGAGCTTGGGATAGTAAGTTCACTGGAGGCTAGGGTGACAATCACCACATATCTACATCACCAGTATTGCTTACCAGAAGATATTACCACAGGGCCTGCCGTTGGGAGAGATCCATCCCCAGGGATCTGTATGGTGAACCCATAGGGTGCCTACCATTTGGTCTGCATTAATTGTGTAAAGTGACTAATTTTATATTAGAAACGTTGGTGTGTTTTGGCAAGAGTAGGACTATAGTACCCAGCCTCATGTATTCAGTGGTGCAGTGTTATGCTGCTGGTGGTCATGGAGAAGGCACCGCTGGCTTCTTGAACTGTTCTGCCTGAAGAGCGAGCTGTTAATGCCCATGGACTCTTATGTCCTCTTATAACAGACCCGTCTGTGAAGATCAGGACATCTGTCTCATCTGACTTGTCACTGATAAGCGCGCATACCTCGGCATTGACAGCAGCTGGATCATGCTCCCGACAACTCAAGCGTCACGACAGCGGAGAATGTGATATTGAGCATTGACACTGGTATCCATTCCTCACCTGGATGGATATCTGTAAGGCTGCAGACCTGCATGATGTCATTCTCTGCATTAAGGCAACTAGAACATGTTGTGACCTCTGGAAAGATCTGTGGAAAAAACCAAAATACAGAGAAAGATAATACAAGATTATTCTTGACCGTCTTTTGTCAAGGCATGGACGGGTGTCAACACGTGAACTTATAATGGTACTGAGGAGCGCATATTGTGACGAGGCATGATCGCCCACACCAGTTCACATGGAGCAGCTTAACACTCGAGGGTAGAAGAGACTAAATAATAGGGAGCATCTTTACACTGGAGGGTAGAAGAGGCTAAATAATAGGGAGGCAACTTTACACTCGAGGGTAGAAGAGACAATGATAGGGAGTAGCTTAACACTGGAGGGTAGAAGAGACTAAATGATAGGGAGCAGCTTAACACTGGAGGGTAGAAGAGATAGAAGAGACTAAATGATAGGGAGGCAACTTAACACTTGAGGGTAGAAGAGACAGAAGAGACTAAATGATAGGGAGCAGCTTAACACTCGAGGGTAGAAGAGACTAAATGATAGGGAGCAACTTAACACTTGAAGGAAGAAGAGATAGAAGAGACTAAATGATAGGGAGCAGCTTTACACTCGAGGGTAGAAGAGACTAAATGATAGGGAGCAGCTTAACACTCGAGGGTAGAAGAGACAGAAGAGACTAAATGATAGGGAGCAACTTTACACTCGAGGGTAGAAGAGACAGAAGAGACCAAATGATAGGGAGCAACTTTACACTCGAGGGTAGAAGAGACTAAATTATAAGGAGCAACTTAACACTCGAGGGTAGAAGAGACAGAAGAGACTAAATGATAGGGAGCAACTTTACACTCGAGGGTAGAAGAGACTAAATTATAAGGAGCAACTTAACACTTGAAGGAAGAAGAGATAGAAGAGACTAAATGATAGGGAGCAACTTTGCACTCGAGGTTAGAAGAAATTGAAGAGACTAAATGATAGGGAGGGAACTTAACACTTGAGGGTAGAAGAGATAGAAGAGACTAAATGATAGGGAGGCAACTTAACACTTGAGGGTAGAAGAGATAGAAGAGACTAAATGAAAGGTAGGCAACTCCACACTCCTGTAAAGGATTGTGGGGCAACCATATTCCGTGCTTAAGGAAAGACTGCATGAATGACAGTAATTCTGTGCACTGTTGTTGATAGTTATGGCTGTATGTCTATTTCAGGGTCTGATTTACCTGACGTTTAGTGCCTTAGGAGGGGAGCCGCTGGCACAGATGGCCTTGGTGAGTGTCTGACTGTTGTTTTTGTGATCAAAGCTTGGTTGTGTAGTTTCACACTTGATACTCACCTCACAAGGTATGTTGACAGCTCTGGAAGTGACCAGTTTTTGTGATCAAAGTTTGATTGTGTAGTTTCACATTTGATACTGATTCACAAGGTATGTTGACAGCTCTGGAAGTTACCAGTGTGGTGTATTCAGGTGTTTTCACCCAGAACTCAGCCGTCACTGACCACACATCCAGAACCCATCTTTCACTGACACCCATTCAGAACCCACCCATCACTGACACACATCAAGAACCCACACATCCAGAACTTAGCCGTCACTGACTACACATCCAAAACCCACACATCTAAACCCACCCACCACTGACACACATCAAGAACCCACACATCACTAACACACATCCAGAACTCAGCCATCCTTGACTACACATCCAGAACCCACACATCACTGACCACACATCCAGAACCCACCCATCACTGACAACACATCCAGAACCCACCCATCACTGACCACACATCCAGAACCCACACATCCAGAACCCACCCATCACTGACTACACATCCAGAACCCACACATCACTGACCACACATTCAGAGCCCACCCATCACTGACACACATCCAGAGCCCACACATCACTGACCACTCATCCAGAACCCACCTATCACTGATCACTTCCAGAACCCACCCATCACTGACACACATCCAGACAGAACCCACCCATCACATGCAATAGATGGAACAGGCAATTGAACATATATCCTGAAGATTGTCTGTTGGAAGCTTAACTTCATAGCTGGCAAGACTAACCTGGACAATGAATACCTGCAGAAGTTGGATGTATCTGTCGAATGGTGCAAATATCGCAGCCACATTTTAAATGCGCACAACACCATTACATCTTTGGATGAATGAAGAAGAAGAAGAATTCCCCCCCCCCCACCCCCCTCCATAAACTCTCAGATATAGCAACTTAAACTTAACAGATGTGCTGAGCATTGCTTCACAGAGGCAGACATCCACACAATGTGTCTCTCCCCCCCCCCCCCCCCCCCCCTTTTTATGACTCTCAGATATGAGCTCACATAAGCAACTAAACAAACTAGATGTACTAACCATTGGTTCACAGAGGCAAGCATCCACACAGTGTCCCCCATAAACTCTCAGATATAGCAACTTAAACTAAACAGATGTACTAAGCATTGCTTCACAGAGGCAAGCATCCACACAAGGTGTTCCCTCATGAACTCTCAGATATAGCAACTTAAACTAAACAGATATACTAAGCATTGCTTCACAGAGGCAAGCATCCACACAAGGTGTTCCCTCATGAACTCTCAGATATAGCAACTTAAACTAAACAGATATACTAAGCATTGCTTCACAGAGGCAAGCATCCACACAAGGTGTTCCCTCATGAACTCTCAGATATAGCAACTTAAACTAAACAGATGTACTAAGCATTGGTTCACAGAGGCAAGCATCCACACAAGGTGTTCCCTCATGAACTCTCAGATATAGCAACTTAAACTAAACAGATGTACTAAGCATTGCTTCACAGAGGCAAGCATCCACACAGTGTCTCCCATGAACTCTCAGATATAGCAACATAAACTAAACAGATGTACTAAGCATTGCTTCACAGAGGCAAGCATCCACACAAAGTGTTCCCCCATAAACTCAGATATAGCAACATAAACTAAACAGATGTACTAACCATTGGTTCACAGAGGCAAGCATCTACACAGTGTCTCCCATGAACTCTCAGATATAGCAACATAAACTAAACAGATGTACTAAGCATTGCTTCACAGAGGCAAGCATCCACACAAAGTGTTCCCTCGTAAACTCTCAGATATAGCATGTAAACTGATATAGCAGACTGATTGCGTAGACATAATCATAACCAACAGCCAATGAGAAGAAGATCCCAGACGTGTTGCATGCACTACTCTGCCATGTTTGACTAGTCAGTCAGTGCTGTAAAGATCACTTGTCAGTGGGACTTTGTCATCCACAAACAGGGCTACCGTTACTACGCTGGTATTGGCGTGGAGTCCAAGTGTGAGACTGCCTTGACCTACTACAGGAAGGTGGCAGCCAAAGGTCAGTTCATCTGTCCACGTGTAAAATCACAAACTCAGTTGTGGTATTTCAGTGTTTGTGGGGGTTTTACTTTTTGTGGTGGGTTAACTGGTTGTGGTGGTCTGTGCTTGTGGTGGTCTGTGCTTGTGGTGGTCTGTGCTTGTGGTGGGTCTGTGCTTGTGGTGGTCTGTGCTTGTGGTGGTCTGTGCTTGTGGTGGGTTAACTGTGCTTATGGTGGTCTGTGCTTGTGGTGGGTTAACTGTGCTAATATGACAGCTGGGTCAGACAGTCATTGAATGAGACCATTCTTCTTCCTATGCTAATATGACAGCTGGGTCAGACAGTCATTGAATGAGACCATTCTTCCTATGCTAATATGACAGCTGGATCAGACAGTCATTGAATGAGACCATTCTTTTTCCTATGCTAATATGACAGCTGGGTCAGACAGTCATTGAATGAGACCATTCTTCCTATGCTAATATGACAGCTGGGTCAGACAGTCATTGAATGAGACCATTCTTCTTCCTATGCTAATATGACAGCTGGGTCAGACAGTCATTGAATGAGACCATTCTTCCTATGCTAATATGACAGCTGGGTCAGACAGTCATAGAATGAGACCATTCTTCTTCCTATGCTAATATGACAGCTGGATCAGACAGTCATTGAATGAGACCTTTACAAACTAGTTGCGATGACTTTCTATTGTCTTCTTCTGGCTCTAGTCATTGCACGCTTCCATCCACTGACTAACAACACACAAGAAAACATGGACGCTGGCGAACGATCCAAATTACACTTACAGTTTATTTGTTCACTCGCTGGTATTGCAGCCAGTAAATGTTAATGGACAACATAGTCACTCATATTTATCCTCACTTATCTAACATGTCAGCTTTACCTTACAATATCTATTTTCCATCCAACAATTGAATGAACAATAACGATTCCATCCGATCAAAAACACAAACATTCTCAGCTGGCTACGACTTCCGTTCGCAAACTGATCCAAGGCATTACACTTACAGACACATCGAACTTAGACATTCTTTCTGGATTCCGCAGACACTCCATTAAACTTCATGTATTCAACATAGGCCTAATATCTATACCAGCACTTATCTAACATGTATAGCCTTCCAATGCCCCCTTCGTACCCGAATTCTCTATTTTCCATTTCCACGAATTGAATTGGCCAGCAATTTTGTGTCCATCCGTGAATAATTATACTTCATTCCGCCTTAAGCATAATTTATCTAGGAGAAAATTAGGCTCACTACACTAATAACTACCATTTTCCATCATGCTGTGTTTCAGCTGTTTTCAGCTGTGTTTCAGCTGTATTTCAGCTGTGTTTCAGCTGTTTTCAGCTGTGTTTCAGCTGTGTTTCAGCTGTATTGAGTTTCTCTCATACAACATTTAGGTATACACTTACATGTGCATAGTTCAGCGCAGAACTCCTCAAGGGGTTCTGGAGTCCTGTTGTGGGGGGTGCATAGATCCCTACCCCAACAAGCCGGTCATAAAATGGGACTAACTAGGAATTTATTGAAAATGGAGGTGTTGGGCTAAAAGGTACAGATATCACAGCCTAGCTGTAAGCCACCCTGTTGTGGAACAACACAGAAAAAAAGTAGAAGTGCAGAATGTTTGTTTCATTACAATGTTTTTATAAGTACTGTTCTGTGATATTAAGTTACCACATTGGTTTCTGTGACCGTATGTAATGTTTGTTTCATTACAATGTTTTTATAAGTACTGATCTGTGATATTAAGTTACCCATTGGTTTCTGTGACTGTATGCCTCTCTTGTCTGTAATTGTTCACCTGCTGTCAGTGTGTGTTTTATGTATTTGGTAATGATATATCATCAGTGGCAGAGTCAGTAACGCCAGCTGGAGGACAAGTTGTTCAGAGAATCCGTCTACAGGAAGAGGCAGAGAGTCAGGGCAGCAATAATGGACCACTGCTGGACGATGACCTGCTGCAGTACTACCACTTCCTGGCTGACAAGGGCGATCAGCAGGCTCAGGTGGGACAGTCACAGCTTTACTCACATCATACTCTACACACCTCACTTTCTACACACCTCGCTTTCTACACACCTCACTTTCTACACACTTCACTTTCTACACACCTCACTTTCTACACATCTTGCTTTCTACACATCTTGCTTTCTACACACCTCACTTTCTACACACCTCACTTTCTACAAACCTCACTTTCTACACACCTCACTTTCTACACATCTTGCTTTCTACACATCTCACTTTCTACACACCTCACTTTCTACACATCTTGCTTTCTACACACCTCACTTTCTACACACCTTACTTTCTACACACCTCACTTTCTACACATCTTGCTTTCTACTCACCTCACTTTCTACACACCTCACTTTCTACACATCTCACTTTCTACACACCTCACTTTCTACACACCTCAATTTCTACACACCTCACTTTCTACACATCTTGCTTTCTACACACCTCAATTTCTACACACCTCAATTTCTACACACCTCACTTTCTACAAACCTCACTTTCTACACACCTCACTTTCTACACATCTCACTTTTTACACACCTTACTTTCTACACACCTCACTTTCTACACACCTCACTTTCTACACATCTCACTTTCTACACCTCACTTTCTACACACCTCACTTTCTACACACTTCACTTTCTACACACTTCATTTTCTACACACCTCACTTTCTACACACCTCACTTTCTACACACCTCACCTCACTTTCTACACACCTCACTTTCTACACACCTCACTTTCTACACACCTCACTTTCTACACACTTCACTTTCTACACACTTCACTTTGGTGGACACACCTCACTTTCTTCCACACACATCACTTTCTACAACACCTCACCTCACTTTCTACACACCTCACTTTCTACACATCTCAACATCACTTTCTACACACCTCACTTTGATATATTGAACATCACCTCACTTTCTACACACCTCACTTTCTACACACCTCACCTCACTTTCTACACACCTCACTTTCTACACACTTGTGGTGGATATTGAACTTGTTCTTTCTACACACCTCACTTTCTACACACCTCACCTCACTTTCTACACACCTCACTTTCTACACACCTCACCTCACTTTCTACACACCTCACTTTTGACACACCTCACCTCACTTTCTACACACTTCACTTTCTACACACCTCACTTTCTACACACTTCACTTTCTACACACCTCACTTTCTACACACTTCACTTTCTACACACCTCACTTTCTACACACCTCACCTCACTTTCTACACACTTCACTTTCTACACACCTCACTTTCTACACACCTCACCTCACTTTTCTACACACCTCACTTTCTACACACCTCACCTCACTTTCTACACACTTCACTTTCTACACACTTCCCAGTTTACACAGCTCACTTTCTATTTGCCTGACATCATCTCAGGTAGCAATGTGAGCTTGGGAATGTTTTCATTGTTTTACCTCCCCCAGCTTGTGTAAGTTTATTCCCCCCCAGCTTGTGGTGGATATTGAACATGTTCTCCCTAGCTTGTGGTGGATATTGAACATGTTCTCCCCCAAAATGTGGTGGATATTGAACATGTTCTCCCTAGCTTGTGGTGGATATTGAACATGTTCTCCCCAGCTTGTGGTGGATATTGAACATGTTCTCCCCCAAAATGTGGTGGATATTGAACATGTTCTCCCTAGCTTGTGGTGGATATTGAACATGTTCTCCCCCAGCTTGTGGTAATCAGTGAATATGTGTGTGTGTTCTCCCAGCTTGTGGTAATCAGTTAATATATGTGTGTGTTCTCCCCAGCTTGTGGTAATCAGTGAATATATGTCTGTGTTCTCCCTAGCTTATGTTACTCAGTTAATATGTGTGTTGTAGCACAGCTCTCTTCTTCGTTGCGTATGTTGATGTCACACCCAGGTTCGTCTTTAGTTTTGCTACAGGAGGAGTCGATTGGAAGATTATAGACGAGGAGAAAGATGGTCATGTCGTTAGTGGTGGTGATGATGATGATGTCTTGCTATCTGCACACTTCTCGCATGGCTCTGATGCTTGTATAATAAGGTGTCTGGAAAAAACTGTTTTTGTCTATACTGTCTTTATTGTGATACTTCAGCAATGACACAAACAATATCAATACTATTCTAAATGGGGCTATGTTCTCTTTATGGTTACGTACTGTTGAGGTCGTTTTGTGTTCATACTCTTGAGGTTGCTTTGTGTTCTAGTGTCTCTAACTGCCACCTGGCTTCTAGTGCTGTTTGGTACTAACGTCTTGATCGTCGACTCTAACATCTCTATAGTGTTCCTAATGTGTCTCTGTTAACCATGGATCCAGGTATCTTGTGTGTTGTCTCTGTAGCTCGATGTCTTGTTTCATGTCTCTTCTCTAATGTCTGTCTTTGAGACTCCATATGACTGGCTGCTAATTCTTCTAGTGTTGAGCTGGCTCTACAACTGTTACTGCTCTATGAGGGTCAATGTTACTAGTCCCTCATCTCTAAGTCTTGTAGACTGAAAGGTGCTTAAGTGGATTCTTACCCATTATTTATACTTGCATGCTGGAATGCTAGTACGTCTCAACTTGTTTACTATGTATGTTCTCACGTGGGATTTTCTAAAAATATCTTGATTGCTTCGGATTTCATCATCCTATTCTACGCACATATAGTAGTTAAACTGACAACTGACGTCATAGAAGCTTCTAGAAAACAAGTACAATTGCGTTTGCTTTGATAGGGCATGACAACAATGTCATCAAATACTATTCACAAAATATTGTTGCCAAAGCTGTTGATTTTCTTCACATAAACTAATTCACAATTTTTTATCTTCTGACAAACATGTGATGACGTCAATAGTTAGTTTTGGCAGGAAAAATTAAGGTTACCAAAACTTGTTGATCTCGGTACATCCCAACTCTGTGCAAAAACCTAACTCCTAACAAACAAGCAATGACCCTTCTCTGTTACAGTGTGTGTTCTCCCCAGCTTGTGATAATCAGTGAATATATGTGTGTGTTCTCCACAGCTTGTGATAATCAGTGAATATATGTGTATGTTCTCCCCAGCTTGTGGTAATCAGTGAATATATGTGTGTGTGTTCTCCCCAGCTTGTGGTAATCAGTGAATATATGTGTATGTTCTCCCCCAGCTTGTCTTAATCAGTGAATATATATGTGTGTGTTCTTCCTAGCTTGTCTTAATCAGTAAATATGTGTGTGTTTTCTCCCCCAGCTTGTCTTAATCAGTGAATATATGTGTGTGTTCTCCCCAGCTTGTCTTAATCAGTGAATATATGTGTGTGTTCTCCCCAGCTTGTTTAATCAGTGAATATATGTTTCAGTTCTCCCCAGCTTGTCTTAATCAGTGAATATATATGTGTATGTTCTCCCCAACTTATGTTACTCAGTTAATATGTGTGTATGTTCTCCCCAGCTTGTGGTAATCAGTGAATATATGTGTGTGTTCTCCCCCAGCTTGTCTTAATCAGCGAATATATATGTGTGTGTGTGTGTGTGTTATCCCCAGCTTATGTTACTCAGTGAAAATGTGTGCTTGTTCTCTGCAGGTTGTGTTAGGCACACTTTACTACCAGGGTGGAAAAGGAGTTCAGATCAATCATGAGGTTTGTGGACATCTAAACTGTATCCATATGTGTTCTAGTTAGTAGCTTCCTCTATTTCCTAATGTCACGTTTATATATAATATATATATGTGTTTGTGTGTGAATGCAAGGGAGCCAGTCAGTGAGGGAGTTATTTAAGTTAGCTTGTGTGACTGATTCTTCACTGTTTTTACTGTTTATGATTTGTTAAATCTCTGTTGTCACTGTGTTTTTGTTGTAGTTTTAGTATTTTGCTCTGTTCACAAATTGAATTTGTACCAGCTTGCATGAATGGATGTGATTCCAGCGATAAATGTGTGACACATTTGTGTGTGAGTATGTACATGCATGAGATATTCATGTTGTCAGACAGCTGGTATTGTAGTTGGGAAGAGCACATTAATGTGTTGTGTAAGTTAGCATCTAGGAATTTGTTGTGTGAGTACAGTTACCATCTAGGAATTTGTTGTGTGAGTACAGTTACCATCTAGGATTTTGTTGTTAAGTAGAGTTACCATCCATGAATTTGTTGTGTAAGTACAGTTAGCATGTAGCAATTTGTTGTGTGAGTACAGTTACCATCTAGGAATTAGTTGTGTAAGTACAGTTAGTTCCTCATTTGATGCACGTGGAAATGAGAGGGAAGAGACTTTGAATGAGGGGACCTGACAAAACATCATGGAGTGTAAGAGAGAAGAGAGTTTGACTGAGGGGACCTGACAGATCATCATGGAGTGTGAGAGAGAAGAGACTGAATGAGGGTAACTGACTGATCAGCAAGGAATGTGAGAGAGAAGAGACTGAATGAGGGGACCTGACAGATCAGCATGGAGTGTGAGAGAGAAGAGACTTTGACTGAGGGGACCTGACAGATCAGCAAGGAATGTGAGAGAGAAGAGACTGAATGAGGGGAATTGACAGATCAGCAAGGAATGTGAGAGGGAAGAGACTTTGAATGAGGGGACCTGACAGATCAGCATGGAGTGTGAGAGAGAAGAGACTGAATGAGGGGAACTGACAGATCAGCATGGAGTGTGAGAGAGAAGAGACTGAATGAGGGGAACTGACAGATCAGCATGGAGTGTGAGAGAGAAGAGACTGTATGAGGGGAACTGACAGATCAGCATGGAATGTGAGAGAGAAGAGACTTTGAATGAGGGGAACTGACAGATCAGCAAGGAATGTGAGAGAGAAGAGACTGAATGAGGGGAACTGACAGATCAGCATGGAGTGTGAGAGGGAAGAGACTGAATGAGAGGAACTGACAGATCAGCATGGAATGTGAGAGGGAAGAGACTGAATGAGAGGAACTGACAGATCAGCATGGAATGTGAGAGGGAAGAGACTTTGAATGAGGGGACCTGACAGATCAGCATGGAATGTGAGAGGGAAGAGACTTTGAATGAGGGGACCTGACAGATCAGCATGGAATGTGAGAGGGAAGAGACTTTGAATGAGGGGACCTGACAGATCAGCATGGAGTGTGAGAGAGAAGAGAATTTTAATGAGGGGACCTGACAGATCGGCATGGAATGTGAGAGGGAAGAGACTGAATGAGGGGACCTGACAGATTAGCATGGAGTGTGAGAGAGAAGAGACTTTGAATGAGGGGACCTGACAGATCGGCATGGAATGTGAGAGGGAAGAGAAAACCTGTGTACTACTGTTTTCTTCCACTAATATAATGTTCATGTCCACTAACTTGTGTGATTTTGTCTAGTTCCACTAATCTGTTTTTACGTTTAACTGGTTCCACTAATCTAATGTTCATGTTTAACTGGTTCCACTAACATAATGTTCATGTTTAACTGGTTGCACTAATATAATCTGTGGTCTAACTGGCGTGACATTGCCTTGTTTTCCAGCAAGCTTACCACTATTTCTCAACGGCCGCACAGGCAGGGAGTGGACATGCTCTCGGATATCTGGGGAAGGTAGGTTTGTTTTTGTTTTGTCATTGTTGTAGGATATCTGGGGAAGGTAGGTTTGTTTTTGTTTTGTCATTGTTGTAGGATATCTGGGGAAGGTAGGTTTGTTTTTGTTTTGTCATTGTTGTGGGATATCTGGGGAAGGTAGGTTTATTTTTGTTGTGTCATTGTTGTGGGATATCTGGGGAAGGTAGGTTTGTTTTTCTTTTGTCATTGTTGTGGGATATCTGGGGAAGGTAGGTTTGTTTTTCTTTTGTCATTGTTGTAGGATATCTGGGGAAGGTAGGTTTGTTTTTCTTTTGTCATTGTTGTGAGATATCTGGGGATGGTGAGTTTGTGATTGTTGTAGGATATCTGGGAGAGGCAGATTTGGTGATGTTTTAGAAAAGCACATTTTTGTTTTTGTAGGCTTTCTGGTACACAGCTGTAACATAGGAAGCCAGATTGTACATATCAGCAGTATGCTTTGTTAAAGCATCATGTACATCAGTGGGCCTTTCATTGGCAGACAGCTTATGATTATGTTGATGCTTGCGTATGTGGACCTCAGACATTGGCTCTTGTGTTATGTTGATGCTTGTGTATGTGGACCTCAGACATTGGCTCTTGTGTTATGTTGGTGCTTGTGTATGTGGACCTCAGACATTGGCTCTTGTGTTATGTTGGTGCTTGTGTATGTGGACCTCAGACATTGGCTCTTGTGTTATGTTGGTGCTTGTGTATGTGGACCTCAGACATTGGCTCTTGTGTTATGTTGATGCTTGTGTATGTGGACCTCAGACATTGGCTCTTGTGTTATTTAATTGAAGTCTAGCTGCCTTGTTGGCCAGTCATGGAGGTCAGTTGTCTCACTGCGTATGTAGCCTCTATGACAGTCCTAATGGTCACTGTCTGTGTGGTCTCTCTCACAGTCGTCTACTTTCTGTCAATCATGCACACGGCAGAATTACACATCCCCAGCACATGGCAGGATTACACATCCCCAGTATACGGCAGGATTACACATCCCCAGTACACGGCAGGATTACACATCCCCAGCACATGGCAGGATTACACATCCCCAGTATACGGCAGGATTACACATCCCCAGTACACGGCAGGATTACACATCCCCAGTACACGGCAGGATTACACATCCCCAGTACACGGCAGGATTACACATCCCCAGTACATGGCAGGATTACACATCCCCAGTACACGGCAGGATTACACTTTCGCAGCAGGTTAGTGCTGATTGTTGGGGTGACTCGCATTATGACATTGATGTGATCTGTGATGAAGTTGTTGATGGGAGATTCTCTCTTGACAGATGCATTCTGAGGGCAGCCCAGTGGTGACACAGAACAACCACACAGCCCTGGAGTACTTCAAGAAATCTGCAGACAAGGTCAGTGCTTGAGTGTCTTCATCCACAGGGTTAGGCACCGAAAACAGCTCCATCTTGTGTTAGTTACCACAGAACACATACATCTAATGTAGTAGCCACCAGACTCACCCACACCTGATGTGGTAGCTACCTCACTCACCCACACCTGATGTAGTAGCTACCACACCCACACCTGATGTAATAGCTACAACATTCATCCGCATCACACGTAGCAGTTACCACATTTACCCACACCTGCTGTAGTAGCCACCTCACTCACCCACACCTAGTGTAGTAGCCACCTCACTCACCCACACCTGGTGTAAAAGCTACAACATTCATCCGCATCACACGTAGCAGTTACCACATTTACCCACACCTAGTGTAGTAGTTACCTCACTCACCCACACCTGATGCAATAGCTACAACATTCACCCACATCACATGTAGCAGTTACCACATTCACCCACACTTGGTGTAGTAGTTACCAATAACTGGTGTTTCATGTCCTTGAGCTGTCTGTCTCAGTGATGTGTTGTAGACAGTGTGTGTCAGTGTTTATCCTGGCATCTTGTTTTGTGTGTTCACAGAAAAACCACATTGGCCAGACTGGATTGGGCATGATGTACTTGAATGGGCTCGGTGTGGAGAAGGTTTGTTCACAACTATATTCTTATGTTTGTTCACAGCTACATTCTCATATTTGTTCACATACATTCTCACATTTGTTCACATACATTCTCACATTTGTTCACATACATTCTCACATTTGTTCACATCTTTATTCTCACATGGGTTCATATATACATTCTCACATGGGTTCACATCTACATTCTCACTTGGGTTCACATCTCACATGGGTTCACATCTACATTCTCACATGGGTTCACATCTCACATGGGTTCACATCTACATTCTCACATGGGTTCACATCTACATTCTCACATGGGTTCACATCTACATTCTCACATGGGTTCACATCTACATTCTCACATGGGTTCACATCTGCAAACTCACAAAGGTTCACATCTCACATGGGTTCACATCTACATTCTCACATGGGTTCACATCTACATTCTCACATGGGTTCACATCTAGTTCTCACATGGGTTCACATCTGCAAACTCACAAAGGTTCACATCTCACATGGGTTCACATCTACATTCTCACATGGGTTCACATCTACATTCTCTCTGGGGTTCACATCTACATTCTCACATGGGTGAACGTTTTTTGACCCTACCCAAATTCTGTGATAAAGTGTCAGGGAGGGAGGATTCAACTTTTCAGTTGCAGAAAAAAATCAGGTGGATTGTAAAAGAGCACATCACCTCACTTCAACACATTCTGGCCTAGTAACTGCCAGTCCAAAAGCTACTCACAGCAATATGTAGGCATGACTTGGTACAAGTGTGTCTGTGTTTTCTAGAGAGGATGTGTGCGCATCCACATTCAGTATTAGTTTCTCTACAATCTATGCTTCACTCATTGACATGTAACCATCCTTTCTCTCCTTCTCTCTCTTCCTGCCTTACTGTCTTCCAATTTCTCTGTCTCCTTCCTACCTTCTGTGTGTGTGTTTGTGTGTGTCTCTCTGTCTCTCACTCACACACACACACACACACACACACACATACCTCTGTTAGCTTATATTAAATAAAAAGGACCAGCAGATAAGGTGAAAACACAGGACAGTGACCATTTACATCCAACACTTTCTGACATGATTGACAGGTTACTTGTGTCTGACACTTTCTGATATCTCTGACTGTAACATTATTGACAAGTTACTTGTGACTGACACTTTCTGACATCTCTGACTCCAGCAAAATTGACAGGTTACTTTTGTCTGACATCTCTGACTCCAACAAGATTGACAGGTTACTTTTGTCTGACACTTTCTGACATCTCTGTCTCAAACATGATTGACAGGTTACTTTTGTCTGACACTTTCTGTCATTTCTGACTCCAGTAAGATAAATCACTTGTGTGTAACACTTTTGTTGGAGTCAGAGATGTCAGAACATGATAGGCAGGTCTCACAGGTCACTTGTGTGTGACACACTTTCTGACATCTCTGACTCCAACAAGATCGACAGGTTGCTTGTGTGTAACGCACTGTCTCACTTATGCTTAAGCACAGTATGGTCTTAATCTGAACTCCATTCATACTGCCAGACATCATGCACACTTTGCTGCCATAAACATATACACCAGCTGTTTGTGTTGATCTCCCCCCACTTCCTCTATCCCCAGGACACCGGCAAGGCATTTCGCTACTTTTCCTTGGCTTCGGATCAAGGATCAGTGGATGCACAGCTCCAGCTTGGAATCATGTACTTCAGTAAGTTTACAAACCGAACTCTCCTGCTAGTTTTTATCTGTCACAGACATTACTCTTATGCTACTGCTGGTTGTTGTCTGTCACAGACATTACTCTTATGCTACTGCTGGTTGTTGTCTGTCACAGACATTACTCTTATGCTACTGCTGGTTGTTGTCTGTCACAGACATTACTCTTATGCTACTGCTGGTTGTTGTCTGTCACAGACATTACTCTTATGCTACTGCTGGTTGTTGTCTGTCACAGACATTACTCTTGTGCTACTGCTGGTTGTTGTCTGTCACAGACATTACTCTTGTGCTACTTGTCAATCACATTACTATCCTGCTGCTGGTTGTTGTCTGTCACAGACAGCATTCTCCTGCTGCTGGTTGTTGTCTGTCACAGACAGCATTCTCCTGCTGCTGGTTGTTGTCTGTCACAGACAGCATTCTCCTGCTGCTGGTTGTTGTCTGTCACAGACAGCATTCTCCTGCTGCTGGTTGTTGCCTGTCACAGACAGCATTCTCCTGCTGCTGGTTGTTGTCTGTCACAGACAGCATTCTCCTGCTGCTGGTTGTTGTCTGTCACAGACAGCATTCTCCTGCTGCTGGTTGTTGTCTGTCACAGACAGCATTCTCCTGCTGCTGGTTGTTGTCTGTCACAGACAGCATTCTCCTGCTGCTGGTTGTTGTCTGTCACAGACAGCATTCTCCTGCTGCTGGTTGTTGTCTGTCACAGACAGCATTCTCCTGCTGCTGGTTGTTGTCTGTCACAGACAGCATTCTCCTGCTGCTGGTTGTTGTCTGTCACAGACAGCATTCTCCTGCTGCTGGTTGTTGTCTGTCACAGACAGCATTCTTCTGTTGCTGGTTGTTGTCTGTCACAGACAGCATTCTCCTGCTGCTGGTTGTTGTCTGTCACAGACAGCATTCTCCTGCTGCTGGTTGTTGTCTGTCACAGACAGCATTCTCCTGCTGCTGGTTGTTGTCTGTCACAGACAGCATTCTTCTGTTGCTGGTTGTTGTCTGTCATGGACTTTATGTGGAGAATATTGGACTATGGATGCAGAGGAAGGCAGACACAGATGTGTACAGACCGCTTCAACTACTGGCTAATAAATACAAACCTAAGCAAGCCACTACTTGGATCAGAATATCAGTCAGCAGAGAGAAATAGACAATGATGATTGCTAATGTCTGCTTCAGATCAAGTACCTGAAGGAGGTACAGTGTTTGTTTGGTTAATCAGTTTAGTCTTTAGCACATTGTTCTCCTCACTTCTTTTTTAGCTGTCATACGTGATTCTGCCATCAGCAGCATTCTTGCAATCATTGATCCGTTCAGTCATTCCCCTCACTTTCAACTTTCATATGTGATTCTGTCATCAACATTAGAGCTACAGTCATTTATCCATTCAGTCATTGCTTTCACTGACTTTCAGCTGGCAATGGAGTACGTAAAGATTACAAGATGGCAGTGAAGTATTTCACCATGTCGTCTCAGAATGGACATGTCTTGGCATTCTACAACCTGGCTCAGATGCATGCCACTGGAACTGGGGTCTTGAGGAACTGTCACACGGCAGTAGAGGTGGGTCTCTCTCCTATTGTTTGTCCTGGCAGTACAGGTGGTTCTCTCTCTCCTATTGTTTGTCCTGGCAGTACAGGTGGGTCTCTCTCTCCTATTGTTTGTCCCGGCAGTAGAAGTGGGTCTCTCTCCTATTGTTTGTCCTGGCAGTAGAGGTGGGTCTCTCTCCTATTGTTTGTCCTGGCAGTAGAGGTGGGTCTCTCTCCTATTGTTTGTCCCGGCAGTACAGGTGGTTCTCTCTCTCCTAATGTTTGTCCTGGCAGTACAGGTGGGTCTCTCTCTCCTATTGTTTGTCCCGGCAGTAGAGGTGGGTCTCTCTCCTATTGTTTGCCCTGGCAGTAGAGGTGGGTCTCTCTCCTATTGTTTGTCCCGGCAGTAGAGGTGGGTTGGTCTCTTTCCTATTGTTTGTCCTGGCAGTAGAGGTGGTTCTTTCTCCTATTGTTTGTCCCGGCAGTAGAGAAGGGTCTCTCTCTCCTGTTGTTTGTCCTGGCAGTAGAGGTGGTTCTCTCTCCTATTGTTTGTCCCGGCAGTAGAGGTGGGTAGGTCTCTTTCCTATTGTTTGTCCTGGCAGTAGAGGTGGGTCTCTCTCCTATTGTTTGTCCCGACAGTAGAGGTGGTTCTCTCTCTCCTATTGTTTGTCCCGGCAGTAGAGGTGGGTCTCTCTCTCCTATTGTTTGTCCCGGCAGTAGAGGTGGTTCTCTCTCTCCTATTGTTTGTCCCGGCAGTAGAAGTGGTTCTCTCTCTCCTATTGTTTGTCCCAGCAGTAGAGGTGGTTTTCTCTCTCCTATTGTTTGTCCTGGCAGTAGAGGTGGTTCTCTCTCCTATTGTTTGTCCTGGCAGTAGAGGTGGTTCTCTCTCTCCTATTGTTTGTCCTGGCAGTAGAGGTGGGTCTCTCTCTCCTATTGTTTGTCCTGACAGTAGAGGTGGTTCTCTCTCTCCTATTGTTTGTCCCGGCAGTAGAAGTGGGTCTCTCTCTCCTATTGTTTATCCCGACAGTAGAGGTGGTTCTCTCTCCTATTGTTTATCCCGGCAGTAGAGGTGGGTGTCTCTCTCCTATTGTTTATCCCGGCAGTAGAAGTGGGTCTCTCTCCTATTGTTTATCCCGGCAGTAGAGGTGGGTCTCTCTCCTATTGTTTGTCCTGGCAGTAGAGGTGGGTCTCTCTCTCCTATTGTTTGTCCTGGCAGTAGAGGTGGGTCTCTCTCTCCTATTGTTTGTCCTGGCAGTAGAGGTGGTTCTCTCTCTCCTATTGTTTGTCCCGGCAGTAGAAGTGGGTCTCTCTCTCCTATTGTTTGTCCTGGCAGTAGAGGTGGGTCTCTCTCCTATTGTTTATCTCGGCAGTAGAGGTGGTTCTCTCTCCTGTTGTTTGTCCCAGCAGTAGAGGTGGGTCTCTCTCCTATTGTTTGTCCTGGCAGTAGAGGTGGTTCTCTCTCCTATTGTTTGTCCCGGCAGTAGAGGTGGGTAGGTCTCTTTCCTATTGTTTGTCCTGGCAGTAGAGGTGGGTCTCTCTCCTATTGTTTGTCCCGACAGTAGAAGTGGTTCTCTCTCTCCTATTGTTTGTCCCGGCAGTAGAGGTGGGTCTCTCTCTCCTATTGCTTGTCCCACAGTAGAGGTGGGCTCTCTCTCTCTCCTATTGTTTGTCCCGGCAGTAGACCATGGTTCTCTCTCTCTCCTATTGTTTGTCCCAGCAGTAGAGGTGGTTTTCTCTCTCCTATTGTTTGTCCTGGCAGTAGAGGTGGTTTGCTCTCTCCTATTGTTTGTCCTGGCAGTAGAACCATGGTTCTCTCTCTCCTATTGTTTGTGGCTGGCAGTAGAGGTGGGGCTCTCTCTCCTATTGTTTGTCCTGACAGTAGATGGTTCTCTCTCTCCTATGGTTTGTCCCGGCACAATAACCATGGCGCACACAATAACCATGGCGCACACAATAACCATGGCTGCCACAATAACCATGGCTGGCACACAATAACCATGGCTGCACACAATAACCATGGCTGCACACAATAACCATGGCTTGCACACAATAACCATGGCTGCACACAATAACCATGGCTGCACACAATAACCTATGGCTTTGCACACAATAACCATGGCTGCACACAATAACCATGGCTGCACACAATAACCATGGCTGCACACAATAACCATGGCCGCACACAATAACCATGGCTGCACACAATAACCATGGCTGCACACAATAACCATGACTGGACACAATAACCATGACTGGACACAATAACCATGACTGCACACAATAACCATGGCTGCACACAATAACCATGGCTGCACACAATAACCATGGCTGCACACAATAACCATGGCTGGACACAATAACCATGGGTCTCACTCTCCTAACTGGCAGCACACAATAACCATGGCTGCACACAATAACCATGACTGCACACAATAACCATGGCTGCACACAATAACCATGGCTGCACACAATAACCATGGCTGCACACAATAACCATGGCTGCACACAATAACCATGGCTGCACACAATAACCATGGCTGCACACAATAATAACCATGGCTGCACACAATAACCATGGCTGCACACAATAACCATGGCTGCACACAATAACCATGGCTGCACACAATAACCATGGCTGCACACAATAACCATGGCTGCACACAATAACCATGGCTGCACACAATAACCATGGCTGCACACAATAACCATGGCACACAAATAACCATGGCTGGCTGCACAAATACCATGGCTGCACACAATAACCATGACTGCACACAATAACCATGACTGCACACAATAACCATGACTGGACACAATAACCATGGCTGCACACAATAACCATGACTGCACACAATAACCATGGCTGCACACAATAACCATGGCTGCACACAATAACCATGGCTGCACACAATAACCATGGCTGCACACAATAACCATGGCTGCACACAATAACCATGGCTGCACACAATAACCATGGCTGGCTGCACACAATAACCATGGCTGCACACAATAACCATGGCTGCACACAATAACCATGGCTGCACACAATAACCATGGCTGCACACAATAACCATGGCTGCACACAATAACCATGGCTGCACACAATAACCCTGGCTGCACACAATAACCATGGCTGCACACAATAACCATGGCTGCACACAATAACCATGGCTGCACACAATAACCATGGCTGCACACAATAACCATGGCTGCACACAATAACCATGGCTGCACACAATAACCATGGCTGCACACAATAACCATGGCTGCACACAATAACCATGGCTGCACACAATAACCATGGCTGCACACAATAACCATGGCTGGACACAATAACCATGGCTGGACACATAACCATGGCTGCACACAATAACCATGGCTGCACACAATAACCATGGCTGCACACAATAACCATGGCTGGCTGCACACAATAACCATGGCTGCACACAATAACCATGGCTGGCTGCACACAATAACCCTGGCTGCACACAATAACCATGGCTGCACACAATAACCATGGCTGCACACAATAACCATGGCTGCACACATAACCATGGCTGCACACAATAACCATGGCTGCACACAATAACCATGGCTGCACACAATAACCATGGCTGCACACAATAACCATGGCTGCACACAATAACCATGGCTGCACACAATAACCATGGCTGCACACAATAACCATGGCTGCACACAATAACCCTGGCTGCACACAATAACCATGGCTGCACACAATAACCATGGCTGCACACAATAACCATGGCTGGACACAATAACCATGGCTGGACACAATAACCATGGCTGGACACAATAACCATGGCTGCACACAATAACCATGGCTGCACACAATAACCATGGCTGCACACAATAACCATGGCTGCACACAATAACCATGGCTGCACACAATAACCATGGCTGCACACAATAACCATGGCTGCACACAATAACCATGGCTGCACACAATAACCATGGCTGCACACAATAACCATGGCTGCACACAATAACCATGGCTGCACACAATAACCATGGCTGCACACAATAACCATGGCTGCACACAATAACCATGGCTGCACACAATAACCATGGCTGCACACAATAACCATGGCTGCACACAATAACCATGGCTGCACACAATAACCATGGCTGCACACAATAACCATGGCTGCACACAATAACCATGCACACAATAACCATGGCTGCACCGGCACACAATAACCATGGCTGCACACAATAACCATGGCTGCACACAATAACCATGGCTGCACACAATAACCATGGCACAATAACCACACAATAACCATGGCTGCACACAATAACCATGGCTGCACACAATAACCATGGCTGCACACAATAACCATGGCTGCACACACAATAACCATGGCTGCACACAATAACCATGGCTGCACACAATAACCATGGCTGCACACAATAACCATGGCTGCACACAATAACCATGGCTGCACACAATAACCATGGCTGCACACAATAACCATGGCTGCACACAACACAATAACCATGGCTGCACACAATAACACAACCATGGCCACAATGCACACAATAACCATGGCTGCACACAATAACCATGGCTGCACACAATAACCATGGCTGCACACAATAACCATGGCTGCACACAATAACCATGGCTGCACACAATAACCATGGCTGCACACAATAACCATGGCTGCACACAATAACCATGGCTGCACACAATAACCATGGCTGCACACAATAACCATGGCTGCACACAATAACCATGGCTGCACACAATAACCATGGCTGCACACAATAACCATGGCTGCACACAATAACCAATGGCTGCACACAATAACCATGGCTGCACACAATAACCCATGGCTGCACACAATAACCATGGCTGCACACAATAACCATGGCTGCACACAATAACCATGGCTGCACACAATAACCATGGCTGCACACAATAACCATGGCTGCACACAATAACCATGGCTGCACACAATAACCATGGCTGCACACAATAACCATGGCTGCACACAATAACCATGACTGCACACAATAACCATGGCTGGACACAATAACCATGGCTGGACACAATAACCATGGCTGCACACAATAACCATGGCTGCACACAATAACCCACAATAACATGCTAGGACACAATAACCATGGCTGCACACAATAACCATGGCTGCTGCACACAATAACCATGGCTGCACACAAATAACCATGCTGCACACAATAACCATGGCTGCACACAATAACCATGGCTGCACACAATAACCATGGCTGCACACAATAACCATGGCTGCACACAATAACCATGGCTGCACACAATAACCATGGCTGCACACAATAACCATGGCTGCACACAATAACCATGGCTGCACACAATAACCATGGCTGGACACAATAACCATGGCTGCACACAATAACCATGGCTGGCTGCACACAATAACCATGGCTGGCTGCACACAATAACCATGGCTGCACACAATAACCATGGCTGCACACAATAACCATGGCTGGCTGCACACAATAACCATGGCTGCACACAATAACCATGGCTGCACACAATAACCATGGCTGCACACAATAACCATGGCTGGACACAATAACCATGGCTGCACACAATAACCATGGCTGCACACAATAACCATGGCTGCACACAATAACCATGGCTGCACACAATAACCATGGCTGCACACAATAACCATGACCGCACACAATAACCATGGCTGCACACAATAACCATGGCTGCACACAATAACCATGGCTGCACACAATAACCATGGCTGCACACAATAACCATGGCTGCACACAATAACCATGGCCGCACACAATAACCATGGCCGCACACAATAACCATGGCCGCACACAATAACCATGGCTGGACACAATAACCATGGCTGCACACAATAACCATGGCCGCACACAATAACCATGGCTGCACACAATAACCATGGCTGCACACAATAACCATGGCTGCACACAATAACCATGGCTGCACACAATAACCATGGCTGCACACAATAACCATGGCTGCACACAATAACCCTGGCTGCACACAATACACAATAACCATGGCTGCACACAATAACCATGGCTGCACACAATAACCATGGCCGCACACAATAACCATGGCTGCACACAATAACCATGGCTGCACACAATAACCATGGCTGCACACAATAACCATGGCTGCACACAATAACCATGGCTGCACACAATAACCATGGCACACAATAACCATGGCACACAATAACCATGGCTGCACACAATAACCGTGGCTGCACACAATAACCATGGCTGCACACAATAACCATGGCTGCACACAATAACCATGGCTGCACACAATAACCATGGCCGCACACAATAACCATGGCTGCACACAATAACCATGGCTGCACACAATAACCATGGCTGCACACAATAACCCTGGCTGCACACAATAACCCTGGCTGCACACAACCATGGCTGCACACAATAACCCTGGCTAGACACAATAACCCTGGCTGGACACAATAACTATGGCTGCACACAATAACCATGGCTAGACATGGCTGCACACAATAACCCTGGCTGCACACAATAACCATGGCTGCACACAATAACCCTGGCTAGACACAATAACCATGGCTGCACACAATAACCCTGGCTGCACACACAATAACCATGGCTGCACACAATAACCATGGCTAGACACAATAACCCTGGCTGCACACAATAACCATGGCTGCACACAATAACCCTGGCTGCACACACAATAACCATGGCTGCACACAATAACCATGGCTAGACACAATAACCATGGCTGCACACAATAACCATGGCTGCACACAATAACCATGGCTGCACACAATAACCCTGGCTGCACACAATAACCCTGGCTGCACACACAATAACCCTGGCTGCACACAATAACCATGGCTGCACACAATAACCATGGCTAGACACAATAACCATGGCTGCACACAATAACCATGGCTGCACACAATAACCCTGGCTGCACACAATAACCATGGCTGCACACAATAACCATGGCCACACACAATAACCACTGATGAAAAGAATAAGCATGGACATACAGAATAACCACAGATGGGGAAATAACCATTGATGGACAATAAACCATGAATTGTAAGAATAACAATAGATGGACATAGTAACCATTGACGGAAAGAATAATGGTAGATGGGAAGAACAACACTGGATGGAGAGAATAATTATTGATGGACAGAGTAATCATGGATGTATAGTTATAAACCATAATGATGATAGTTGGTCATGTGTTCCTGTGATGAATTATTGTCATGTCTGTTTTTCTGTCCAGCTGTTCAAGAATGTTGCTGAGAGAGGCCGCTGGTCAGAGATGCTGATGGACGCTCATCGTATGTACCACGAAGGTAGTGTGGACACTGCCCTGGTCAAGTATATGTTCCTGGCAGAGTTGGGCTACGAGGTGGCTCAGTCCAATGTGGCATACATGCTGGATACTGGTCAGTACCGACTTGTCTAGAAACTTGTCACTGTCAGCCCTAGTCACTGTCGTCAGCCCTTGTCACTGTCAGCATTTGTCACTGTCAGCCCTTGTCACTGTCGTCAGCCCTTGTCACTGTCGTCAGCCCTTGTCACTGTCAGCATTTGTCACTGTCAGCCCTTGCATGTTGTGGTTGAAGATTTGTTACTATCAGGGTAGTTAGAGCTCTAGACTCTCCAGGTATAGATTGCTGTTCCACACAGAAGTATTTATGATTTCTTCAGAACTCGAACAAAAGGCATTAATTACATGTTGGTAATCAGTTGTTGATGTCTAAATTTAAACTATGTGTGTTTAGTTGTTGTTGATGTCTGTAAATATTACTAATATGTTTTTAGTTTACTCATCCCGCATGTTGAGACTGCAGTCATGCGTGCCTGCACATGTGACACAAGTGAGACTGCAGTCATGCGTGCCTGCACATGTGACACAAGTGAGACTGCAGTCATGCGTGCCTGCACATGTGACACAAGTGAGACTGCAGTCATGCGTGCCTGCACATGTGACACAAGATTGAGAGGGGTTATCTCATTTGTTGATGATAATATTTATTTTTCTGGGTGTAACTTGTTAGGTGTGGTGCTGTCTGTATTGTTGTTTGTCCGTCCATCTGTCATCAGTTTTGTGAGAATGATGTGGGTGTAACTTTTTAGGTGTGGTGCTGTCTGTATTGTTGTTTGTCTGTCCATCTGTCATCAGTTTTGTGGGAATGATGTGGGTGTAACTTGTTAGGTGTGGTGCTGTCTGTATTGTTGTTTGTCTGTCCATCTGTCATCAGTTTTGTGGGAATGATGTGGGTGTAACTTGTTAGGTGTGGTGCTGTCTGTATTGTTGTTTGTCTGTCCATCTGTCATCAGTTTTGTGGGAATGATGTGGGTGTAACGTGTTAGGTGTGGTGCTGTCTGTATTGTTGTATGTCTGTCCATCTGTCATCAGTTTTGTGGCAATGATGTGGGTGTAACTTGTTAGGTGCAGTGCTGTCTGTATTGTTGTATGTCCGTCCATCTGTCATCAGTTTTGTGGCAATGATGTGGGTGTAACTTGTTAGGTGTGGTGCTGTCTGTATTGTTGTTTGTCTGTCCATCTGTCATCAGTTTTGTGGCAATGATGTTGGTGTAACTTGTTAGGTGCAGTGCTGTCTGTATTGTTGTATGTCCGTCCATCTATCATCAGTTTTGTGGGAATGATGTGGGTGTAACTTGTTAGGTGTGGTGCTGTCTGTATTGTTGTTTGTCTGTCCATCTGTCATCAGTTTTGTGGGAATGATGTGGGTGTAACTTGTTAGGTGTGGTGCTGTCTGTATTGTTGTATGTCTGTCCATCTGTCATCAGTTTTGTGGCAATGATGTGGGTGTAACTTGTTAGGTGCAGTGCTGTCTGTATTGTTGTATGTCCGTCCATCTGTCATCAGTTTTGTGGGAATGATGTGGGTGTAACTTGTTAGGTGTGGTGCTGTCTGTATTGTAGTTTGTCTGTCCATCTATCATCAGTTTTGTGGGAATGATGTGGGTGTAACTTGTTAGGTGTGGTGCTGTCTGTATTGTTGTTTGTCTGTCCATCTATCATCAGTTTTGTGGGAATGATGTGGGTGTAACTTGTTAGGTGTGGTGCTGTCTGTATTGTTGTATGTCCGTCCATCTGTCATCAGTTTTGTGGGAATGATGTGGGTGTAACTTGTAAGGTGCAGTGCTGTCTGTATTGTTGTCTGTCCGTCCATCTGTCATCAGTTTTGTGGGAATGATGTGGGTGTAACTTGTTAGGTGTGGTGCTGTCTGTATTGTTGTCTGTCTGTATTGTTGTCTGTCTGTATTATTGTCTGTCTGTCCATCTGTCATCAGTTTTGTGGCAATGATGTGGGTGTAACTTGTTAGGTGCAGTGCTGTCTGTATTGTTGTCTGTATTGTTGTCTGTCTGTATTGTTGTCTGTCTGTATTGTTGTCTGTCTGTATTATTGTCTGTCTGTCCATCTGTCATCAGTTTTGTGGCAATGATGTGCGTGTCTGTACCTGTGATAGTCTTTGTCTTCAGGTGTCAGTTCCAAGTTCAGCAAATACGAGACATACCAGCGGGCCTTACTGCAGTACTCCCGGGCAGCATCCCAAGGTAATGTCCGCCTGCCTGCTTGCTAGTTTGTTTGTTTGTTTGCTGGCACAGTAATTGAGCCACTGGCTTCAGGCTCTGGACATTGTAGGTTCAGTGTCAGACTTGATGGTTTGGTTGGCTGGTGTGAGTGGAGTGTTGAGAAAAAAGGGGCCAAGGTGGTTGGGTTGTTTGATGTGATGTCCTCAGCTGGTATGCAAGAGTAACTTATTTAAAGTCTCCATCATTGTTGAGATTGTGCATTCCCTGAGAGGTTTTGCATTCCCTGAGAGGTTTTGTATTCCCTGAGAGGTTTTGTATTCCCTGAGAGATTGTGCATTCCCTGAGAGGTTGTGCATTCCCTGAGAGGTTTTGTATTCCCTGAGAGGTTTTGTATTCCCTGAGAGGTTTTGTATTCCCTGAGAGGTTTTGCATTCCCTGAGAGGTTTTGTATTCCCTGAGAGGTTTTGTATTCCCTGAGAGGTTTTGCATTCCCTGAGAGGTTTTGCATTCCCTGAGAGGTTTTGCATCTACTGGATGAGATTTTATGCGTACAGATTTCTCCCAGTCATGTTCAAAAGTATCAGCATCACAGGGACTGTGCTGCGCAGCTCTGCACACTTTCCCCAAGCTTAGAAAGGTGTGCTGGACCCATGCTGGAACTTGGACAGCTGTGGTCAGGCAGTAGGATGTCACCAGGACAACATTCCACACACTCCGACCCTGCATCCAGTGGGTGTCATTCCACACACTCCAACCCTGCGCCCTAGAGTGGGTGTCATTCCACACACTCCGACCCTGCGCCCTAGAGTGGGTGTCATTCCACACACTCCGACCCTGCGCCCTAGAGTGGGTGTCATTCCACACACTCCGACCCTGCGCCCCAGAGTGGGTGTCATTCCACACACTCCGACCCTGCGCCCTAGAGTGGGTGTCATTCCACACACTCCGACCCTGCGCCCTAGAGTGGGTGTCATTCCACACACTCCGACCCTGTGCCCCAGAGTGGGTGTCATTCCACACACTCCGACCCTGCGCCCCAGTGGGTGTCATTCCACACACTCCGACCCTGCGCCCTAGAGTGGGTGTCATTCCACACACTCTGACCCTGCGCCCTAGAGTGGGTGTCATTCCACACACTCCGACCCTGCGCCTCCGAGTGGGTGTCATTCCACACACTCCGACCCTGCGCCCCAGTGGGTGTCATTCCACACACTCCGACCCTGCGCCCTAGAGTGGGTGTCATTCCACACACTCCGACCCTGCGCCCCAGTGGGTGTCATTCCACACACTCCGACCCTGCGCCCTAGAGTGGGTGTCATTCCACACACTCCGACCCTGAGCCCCAGTGGGTGTCATTCCACACACTCCGACCCTGCGCCCTAGAGTGGGTGTCATTCCACACACTCCGACTCTGCGCCCCAGTGGGTGTCATTCCACACACTCCGACCCTGCGCCCTAGAGTGGGTGTCATTCCACACACTCCGACTCTGCGCCCCAGTGGGTGTCATTCCACACACTCCGACCCTGCGCCCCAGAGTGGGTGTATAATGACAAGCAGTGTATACATAAACAGGCTCATATTGTACACAGTTTTATGTCACTTGTGACTAGAAGACAGTCACTGTACAAACAATGACTGTCAGTGGACAGTGACATGAGACAGATAACCTACAACGTGACTGACAGTGGACAGTGACATGAGACAGATAACCTACAACGTGACTGACAGTGGAGAGTGACATGAGACAGATAACCTACAACGTAACTGACAGTGGACAGTGACATGAGACAGATCAAACCTACAATGTGACTGACAGTGGACAGTGACATGAAACACAGAACACATGGACAGCATCATGACTGGCATCTACAGCACCGACTGCCACCATGAACAACATCTAGAGAGACATCCCTGACAATTGCTGTCTATCTTGTTTCATTGAATCAGGTTCTCTCTATGGTAAGTGCAGTGCACCAGTCCCTGAGCAAGAGTACACTAGTGGGCTATTTGTCTTTAGTTTCACTGTTCTGCTCCCTTGTTCTTTCTCTGATACATTCAAGCAACAGACTTTATGTGTCAAGGGTCACAGATGAGACGCTGTCAACCTATCTCACATTCAGCACTTTAAACACTTGTCTTTAGTTTCACTGTTCTGCTCCCTTGTTCTTTCTCTGATACATTCAAGCAACAGACTTTATGTGTCAAGGGTCACAGATGAGACGCTGTCAACCTATCTCACATTCAGCACTTTAAACACTTGTCTTTCACACAGCAACTGTTTCTTATTTTTTATTTTTTATTTATTTGTAAAGCATGTCATATTCACATAACAATATCCTGAAAGAGTAATCCTAGCAACAACTGCCTGTGGAAGTGTCATGTGTTGGCCTAAAGGGGCAAATATCGCAGCCATTTTGTAAATTATTACAGTGTGTTTACGTCTTTCAATGAATGCACACACACAAAAAACAAGAAAAGAAGATTTAGTAATATACATGATTTGAGTGTCTAGTAAGATCCTCAAAAGCTTACATGGAAAATGTCCACATTTAGATATACTCACCTACCCCCTTCCCTCTTTCTTTCTATCTCTATCTATTCATGTGTTCATGTTCATCTATCTATCTGTCTGTCTGTCTGATATGGGTATACAAAAACATACATACATTGATACTCACATTTGCATGTATTTATATATATATATATATATATATATATATATATATATATAGGTTTTATGTTATATATGTAGGTTTATATATATATATATATATATATATATATATATATATATATATATATATATATATATATATAATATATATATATATATATATATATATATATATATATATATATATATATATATATATATATATATAATGCATATACATATGTCCAGATGATATGGAGCATAGATGCTTAACCATCTCAGGCCATGTTGTCATTTTGTACAAACACCAGGTTTCATTTATGGGGAATGTTGTTTCAAACATTAGGTTTCCTTTATGGGGTATGTTGCCTCAAATACCAGGTTTCCTGTATGGGGTATGTTGTCTCAAACACCAGGTTTCCTGTATGGGGTATGTTGTCTCAAACACCAGGTTTCCTGTGTGGGGTATGTTGTCTCAAACACCAGGTTTCCTGTGTGGGTTATGTTGTCTCAAACACCAGGTTTCCTTTATGAGGTATGTTGTCTCAAACACCAGGTTTCCTGTATGGGGTATGTTGTCTCAAACACCAGGTTTCCTGTGTGGGGTATGTTGTCACAAACACCAGGTTTCCTGTGTGGGTTATGTTGTCACAAACACCAGGTTTCCTGTGTGGGGTATGTTGTCACAAACACCAGGTTTCCTGTGTGGGTTATGTTGTCTCAAACACTAGGTTTCCTGTGTGGGTTATATTGTCTTAAACACCAGGTTTCCTGTGTGGGGTATGTTGTCACAAACACCAGGTTTCCTGTGTGGGTTATGTTGCCTCAAATACCAGGTTTCCTGTATGGGGTATGTTGTCTCAAACACCAGGTTTCCTTTATGAGGTATGTTGTCTCAAACACCAGGTTTCCTGTATGGGGTATGTTGTCTCAAACACCAGGTTTCCTGTGTGGGGTATGTTGTCACAAACACCAGGTTTCCTGTGTGGGTATGTTGTCTCAAACACCAGGTTTCCTGTGTGGGGTATGTTGTCTTAAACACCAGGTTTCCTGTGTGGGGTATGTTGTCACAAACACCAGGTTTCCTGTGTGGGTTATGTTGTCTCAAACACCAGGTTTCCTGTGTGGGTTATATTGTCTTAAACACCAGGTTTCCTGTGTGGGGTATGTTGTCTCAAACACTAGGTTTCCTATATGGTGTATGTTGTCTCAAACCCAGGTTTCCTGTGTGGGGTATGTTGTCTCAAATACCAGGTTTCATGTGTGCAGGTTCAACTAATGCCAGGCTCAAGATGGGAGACTACCACTACTACGGCCTGGGAACAGATGTTGACTACGAGTCGGCCGCCACCCACTACAGGATGGCATCAGAGCAACAGCACAATGCTCAGGCTATGTTTAACTTGGGATACATGCATGAGAAAGGACTGGGTCTCAAGCAGGTAGCTGTATGTCTGCTGTTTATTCTCTGGTTCATGTTTGGTTACACTGGAATAATTGTCATTGACATCAGGCCCTGGCTTATGAGGGATGCAAACAATCGTCAGGTCAGGAGAGTTAGCATAGCACTGGTTGACTCATCTCATAGCTGACTGTTGGCAGCCATGAGCAAGTCATTAGAGGAGTCAAGCCATTCATTTGAGAGGAATGGACACTGTAGCTCACCCATCTGAGATAAATAAATGGGAAAAAAAGGGTCACAAATTAGGCACGCAGGCCTGTCTTACTTTCGGCCCTTCCAAACTCCTATCTTTCACACAGCAGTTGAATTTCATCATTAAAGCATGTTCATGGAATATTATGCATTTTTTAAATATCAAGTCAAAAACAAAAGCACGGATGGTGAAATTATGCGAACACACTAGACATTTAACTAGTAGACCACAAACACCCAGTTGTAACTGGACATGTAACTAGTAGACCACAAACACCCAGTTGTAGACTGGACATGTAACAAGTAGACCACAAACACCCAGTTGTAGATTGGATATATAACTAGTAGACCACAAACACCCAGTTGTAGACTGGATATATAACTAGTAGACCACAAACAACCAGTTATAGACTGGACATGTAACTAGTAGACCACAAACACCCAGTTGTAGAGTGGACATGTAACTAGTAGACCACAAACACCCAGTTGTAGACTGGACATGTAACTAGTAGACCACAAACACCCAGTTGTAGACTGGACATGTAACTAGTAGACCACAAACACCCAATTGTAGACTGGACATGTAACTAGTAGACCACAAACACCCAGTTGTAGACTGGACATATAACTAGTAGACCACAAACACTCAGTTGTAGACTGGACATATATCTAGTAGACCACAAACACCCAATTGTAGACTGGACATATAACTAGTAGACCACAAACACCCAGTTGTAGACTGGACATATAACTAGTAGACCAGACACACCCAATTGTAGACTGGATATATAACTAGTAGACCACAAACACTAAGTTGTAGACTGAATATATAACTAGTAGACCACAAACACCCAGTTGTAGACTGGACATATAACTAGTAGACCACAAACACCCAATTGTAGACTGGACATATAACTAGTAGACCACAAACACCCAGTTGTAGACTGGACATATAACTAGTAAACCACAAACACCCAGTTGTAGACTGGATATATAACTAGTAGACCACAAACAACCAGTTGTAGACTGAATATATAACTAGTAGACCACAAACACCCAGTTGTAGACTGGATATATAACTAGTAGACCAAAAACACCCAGTTGTAGACTGGACATATAACTAGTAGACCACAAACACCCAGTTGTAGACTGGACATGTAACTAGTAGACCACAAACACCCAATTGTAGACTGGACATGTAACTAGTAGACCACAAACACCCAGTTGTAGACTGGACATATAACTAGTAGACCACAAACACCCAATTCTAGACTGGACATATAACTAGTAGACCACAAACACCCAGTTGTAGACTGGACATATAACTAGTAGACCACAAACACCCAATTGTAGACTGGACATATAACTAGTAGACCACAAACACCCAGTTGTAGACTGGATATATAACTAGTAGACCACAAACACCCAGTTGTAGACTGAATATATAACTAGTAGACCACAAACACCCAGTTGTAGACTGGATATATAACTAGTAGACCACAAACACCCAGTTGTAGACATGAGAAAAGTGGATGTTGAAACAGGAATGTGACACTGGTTGGTCTCCTCTCACAGGACATCCATCTGGCCAAACGTTTCTATGACATGGCTGCAGAGACCAGCCTGGACGCCCACGTACCGGTCACTCTAGCTCTGCTCAAACTGGGCATCTTCTACGGCATGGATGTCTTCAGTAAAGAGGTGAGATTTGTTCTGTCTGTCAGTCTTTCCTGGATTACACACACATTCTGTCTGTTTTCTTCTGTCTGTCTGTCTGTCTGTCAGCTCTACTCTGTTTGGCTGAGAATAACATCAGCTTGTACCATAAAGAGATGTCTGTGGACCAGTGAAAGCCATGAATCACTGGCTCCTCCTCAACCACAGATACCAGAGATGCTTGTGAGTGTCTGCCATTTCTAGACATATGTTGGACCACATCTGATGGCCGACTTAAGAACTGACTCTCTGACATCAAACGAACAAACTTGATTTTCAAAGGGTCACAAGTTAGGCACACAGTCCTGTCTTACTTTTGACCCTTCAGAACACATATTTCACACAGCGGTTGTGTTTGATCAATAAAGCGTGCTATTTTTATCTAATAGATTGCATATTATGAATATCAAGAAAAAACACAAAAGCATAGGTGGTAAAATGCACATGCACACTCACATACACACGCAAACCCATACACATATACAGCCATATATGTATGCACGTACATACACACACACACACATATTTACATACACACAATCACATACATACATATCCACACACATACATGCATACATACACACAAACTCAGTCACACACACTCACAGATGCAGACAAACAAACAGCCACACACACAGACACACTTGCACATAGAAACACACATATCCACAGCTCAAGGTGGCTGGCTGTACAAGCCCTGAGCCACTGAGAAATGTTTGAGATGTGAGTGTTTTGTTTGAGATGTGGGTGTTTTGTTTGAAATGTGGCTGTTTTGTTTGAGATGTAGCTGTTTTGTTTGAGATGTAGGTGTTTTGTTTGAGATGTGGCTGTTTTGTTTGAGATGTAGCTGTTTTGTTTGAGATGTGGGTGTTTTGTTTGAAATGTGGCTGTTTTGTTTGAGATGTAGCTGTTTTGTTTGAGATGTAGGTGTTTTGTTTGAGATGTAGGTGTTTTGGGTGGGTGTTTTGTTTGAGATGTAGCTTTTTGTTTGAGATGTGAGTGTTTTGTTGAAATGTGGCTGTTTTGTTTTGAGATGTTGTTTTTGTTTGAGATGTAGGTGTTTTGTTTGAATGTTTTGTTTTGTTGAGATGTAGGTGTGTTGTGTTTGAGTATGTGGTAGGTGTTTGTTTGGCTGAGTTTGAGATGTGGCTGTTTTGTTTGAGATGTGGCTGTTTTGTTTGAGATGTGAGTGTTTTGTTTTTTTTAGATGTAGGTGTTTTGTTTGAGATGTGGCTCTTTTGTTTGAGATGTGACTGATTTGTTTAAGATGTGGCTGTTTTGTTTAAAATGTGGTTGTTTTGTTTGAAACGTGGCTGTTTTGTTTGAAATGTGGCTGTTTTGTTTGAAATTGGCTGTTTTGTTTGAATGTGGCTGTTTTGTTTGAAATATGGCTGTTTTGTTTAAATGTGGCTGTTTTGTTTTTTGTGGCTGTTTTGTTTCAATGTTTTTTGTTTGAGATGTGGCTGTTTTGTTAGAGATGTGGCTGTTTTGTTTGAGATGTGGCTGTTTTGTTTGAAATATGGCTGTTTTGTTTAAATGTGGCTGTTTTGTTTGAATGTGGCTGTTTTGTTTGAGATGTGAATGTTTTGTTTGAGATGTGGCTGTTTTGTTTGAAATATGGCTGTTTTGTTTAAATGTGGCTGTTTTGTTTGAGATGTGGCTGTTTTGTTGAGATGTAGGTGTTTTGTTTGAGATGTGCTGTTTTGTTTGAGATGTAGGTGTTTTGTTTGAGATGTGGCTGTTTTGTTTCATTGTTGTAGTGTCAGGGATTGTGTGGGGTGTGATGGGATATGGTTGCCCAGTTGAGTCGTCAATGCCTGTGTACTGATGACCTTATCCTTTCTGTCCTGCTTGCAGTTTGAAGGAGTCTCGGGTATATTTGGACTGCTGGATCCGGCCTCCTACCTGGGACCTGAGTGGGACCTCTACCTGGCCTCTGTGCTGGCCGTTCTCTTTGGGGTTGTCTACTTCCTGCGCAGGATGAGATAACACCTGGCGGCTGGCCGTTACTTGTTAATGTTTGTTATTTTATTCAGTAATCCTTGTGGTCAGCAGATTCATCTGATTTTTCTTGAGCGTATCCATGTGGACTTTAACCCATTCAGTAAGCTTTCCTTCCAAGATAGTCCATCCCGAAGCAGCCAGGCTGACCACCACCTGTCAGTGTCACTCTGCCATTACCTTTCTAGTTTCATGACAGTTGGAAATCCCAGAAGTGCATTTGTTAGACTGGCAGTTATCATCATCATTGTGTTGCAGGCCAGAGATTCTAGGTCTGCCTGGGCACACCTGCCACCCATGGCCTAGTGAGAGCCTTCTGCTGTTGGCTGCAGGTGATGCTCAGTTACACAAGTAGTGTCTCCATCATGTCTGCCTGGGCACACCTGCCACCCATGGCCTAGTGAGAGCCTTCTTCTGTTGGCTGCAGGTGATGCTCAGTTACACAAGTTGGCTGCAGATGATGCTCAGTTACACAAGTAGCCAGAGTGCCTCCGTCTGGAATATACTGTTCCTCCATCATGTCTGCCTGGTTGTCTTCCTCCTCCTGACTGCAGCATTTAGAAAACATCTGGAGAGAACTTTACTGTGAGGTTAGATCAGCTTTTTAACTGTGTTGGGAAGTAGATTGACAGAGGATGATCATCTATGATGGGGTGTAGATTGACAGAGGATGATCATCTATGATGGGGTGTAGATTGACAGAAAGAGATAATCTGTGATGGGACGTAGATTGACAGAAAGAGATAATCTGTGATGGGACATAGATTGACAGAAAGAGATAATCTGTGATGGGACGTAGATTGATAGAGAGAGAATATCTATGCTGGGAAGTAGACTGAGAGATAGATATTCAGTAACCTCAGACTTCCACCATACATAAAAGGTTAACTAGACTGTGATATTTGATTCAGCAAATCCCTCATTGATCAGCTTTTACAGCATGCTTGTTGGGGGGCTTTATGTCTTTTCATTCCTTTGCTAAAAACTGAAACTAGGATTACCACAGGTTCAATTATTCACTGTCACATCATAGCCGGGGGATGGTCTGATTTTCACTATTGTGTCCTGAGGTGATTTCAGTTTATCACAGCTAACATGGCATAGCCGGCTTGTGGCCCAATGCCACACTGATTGTGTCCTGCAGGACCTTATCAGTTAGTGGTCACATCCTGCAGGACCTGATCAATCAGTGGACACATCCTACAGGACCTGGTCAATTAGTGGTCACATCCTGCAGGACCTAGTCAGTCAGTGGTCACATCCTGCAGGACCTGGTCAGTTAGTGGTCACATCCTGCAGGGGCTGGTCAGTCAGTGGTCACATCCTGCAGGACCTGATCAGTCAGTGATCACATCCTGCAGGACCTGGTCAGTTAGTGGTCACATCCTGCAGGACCTGGTCAATCAGTGGTCACATCCTGCAGGACCTGGTCAGTCAATGGTCACATCCTGCAGGACCTGGTCAGTCAGTGGTCACATCCTGCAGGACCTGGTCAGTCAGTGGTCACATCCTGCAGGACCTGGTCAGTCAGTGGTCACATCCTGCAGGACCTGGTCAGTCAATGGTCACATCTTGCAGGACCTGGTCTGTCTGTGATCACAAGAAGAAGATATTAGCATGCCAGTGATACTGTGTGATTCTATGAATGTATTGTCATTATGTTTAAAGAACTGATTCTATGAATGTATTGTCATTATGTTTAAAGAACTGATTCAAGCACTATTTGATGGATCATCACTCAGGAGGAGTCAGCATTCTTGTTATGTGATCAATCACACATTTATTTGTTGATTCACAACTGTATCACATCACAGGACTATATTATTCTCATGGATTCCCTTAGTTGTGCTCTATGCAAGAACATGTGTTGTTGAAAGTGTGTTTGTTCTGTAGCCCAGAAAAGTATTTGTGTGACAACAAGGTTTTCCCAACCATCACAAATCAAGCAGTCCTATGGTTGCTATTCTGCTTTATGTATATCAGCTTGTAGATGTCAGAAGGATTCTGTGTCATTCCTCTCCCTTACCAATCAGCAGCCTTTAGTATGTATGTCAGCACAATGACCTGACTGTGTTCATGGCTGGACATGTAGTGTTTGTGGCTGTCAGCTGACCTAAATACTGCACATGTGTAACCAGCGTGTACCCCAGAGTTGCCCCCAACCCTCTCCCCAGTGTGTCTGCCATGTTGTCAGCTTACTTTGATTGGCATATGTAAATATTTACAGCACTTTGATTGGCCAAGTTGTTTCTGTGCATGTATTTGTTGTATACACCATAGAGCACTGTATGTGTGGTGCTGTACTCTCATGTGTGTGTTTATTTAATTATGTTGTGTATGTGGGAGATGTGGCATTCTTATATCTAGTACCTGTGGAAACTTGTTTAAGAGAGAGAGACAGAGACCAATGCCTAGTATAGTGTTATTCTGCTATCTCTGTGAGATGTTTCTTGTCGATTCTGTTGTTTAAGTGTGATGCCCTATGTGTCTTGATGGAGTCAAAGAGAGACCTGTGCATGTGATGTGGGGATTGGGGAATTTTACTATTTGCAATTTTTTGTTGACATGTAATTGTTCTGATGAAGAATTATTTCATAAACATTGCTCATCTTTGTTGAGTTTGTTCATCAGAATGTCATTTAAGTCACAGAAGTAGAGTGTTGGTTGAAATGTGCACATAACAAGGCTGTTTGTTGGTTGAAATATGCACATAACAAGGCTGTTTGTTGGTTGAAATGTGCACATAACAAGGCTGTTTGTTGGTTGAAATATGCACATAACAAGGCTGTTTGTTGGTTGAAATGTGCACATAACAAGGCTGTTTGTTGGTTGAAATGTGCACATAACAAGGCTGTTTGTTGGTTGAAATGTGCACATAACAAGGCTGTTTGTTGGTTGAAATGTGCACATAACAAGGCTGTTTGTTGGTTGAAATGTGCACATAACAAGGCTGTTTGTTGGTTGAAATGTGCACATAACAAGGCTGTTTGTTGGTTGAAATGTGCACATAACTAGGCTGTTTGTTGGTTGAAATGTGCATATAACAAGGCTGTTTGTTGGTTGACTTGTATCTGGCAGCAGTGATGAACTACAGAGTTGTTCTTGTTCGATGAGGTAATGTGCTTCATCAGCTGATGTGATCTGGTAATGTGCTACATCAGCTGATGTGATCTGGTAATGTGCTTCATCAGCTGATGTGATCTGGTAATGTGCTACATCAGCTGATGTGATCTGGTAATGTGCTACATTAGCTGATGTGATCTGGTAATGTGCTACATCAGCTGATGTGATCTGGTAATGTGCTACATCAGCTGATGTGATCTGGTAATGTGCTTCATCAGCTGATGTGATCTGGTAATGTGCTACATCAGCTGATGTGATCTGGTAATGTGCTACATTAGCTGATGTGATCTGGTAATGTGCTACATTAGCTGATGTGATCTGGTAATGTGCTACATCAGCTGATGTGATCTGGTAATGTGCTAGATTAGTTGATGTGGTGTAGTAATGTGCTACATTAGTTGATGTGGTGTGGTGTAGTAATGTGCTACATTAGTTGATGTGGTGTGGTGTAGTAATGTGCTACATTAGTTGATGTGGTGTAGTAATGTGCTACATCAGTTGATGTGGTGTGGTAATGTGCTACATCAGCTGATGTGATGCGGTAATGTGCTATATCGGCTGATGTGATGGGGTAATGTGCTACATCGGCTGTTGTGATGGGGTAATGTGCTACATCGGCTGATGTGATGCGGCAATGTGCTACATCAGATGATGTGATAACACAATCAGGAGTGACACCGTCTCAGGTGATATCTCAATAATTAACATCATCATCTGTGTCCAGCTCTGACTGACTTACTGAGACTGTGATTACAACAACAATCCTTGTTTATGTAACAACATAATAGTTTGATCACTGATACAAGCCAGGATGTTCCTGCGATGGTTATAGCTCTCGATGTCTGATGTGGAATTTCAGAGATCACTTACTTGTTTCACATCCTATCACAAGAGATGCACACTTAAAAGAATGAGAACCAGTGACTAGGTGTAGGTGGCAGGTGTTATAATTTATCCTTCCAATACAGGAAGTACTCCCTGTGCCACCTGGAAGCAATCACTTGGAAAGACCATGTCGAGAACAGGCTGCCACTTGCAGGGACAGTGCTAGTACTGTCACTGCTTGAGCTGTCTACAGATGTGTTCATGCTGACAGGACAGCACTGACTATCTAGAGCTGGCACATATACTGGGCCTGGAAATGCCTGGCTGTCACTGACATGACAGCGTGTGCGGCTGAGACTGTCCAGAAACACAAGTCTGGCATCTGGATCCTCGTCTGATATCTGCAGAAATCGACCACCTGGGGTCAGTGTCCTGTCCACCTCTGACATCATGGCTATTGCCTGGGTGTGAGCTCTGCTTCTGTCCTTCAGCAGTGCATCCATGGTACCTGGGGCAGGGGGGAGAGAGAATGTCGTTTAATCCCAGTACTGGTGTCTACAGGTACAACATTCACAATGACAATTACCTGTCTACAGGTACAACATTCACAATGACAATTACCTGTCTACAGGTACAACATTCACAATGACAATTACCTGTCTACAGGTACAACATTCACAATGACAATTACCTGTCTACAGGTACAACATTCACAATGACAATTACCTGTCTACAGGTACAACATTCACAATGACAATTACCTGTCTACAGGTACAACATTCACAATGACAATTACCTGTCGTTAGAGCATTGGTATTAATGGACCATGATATGTCACTAACTGTTAGATGCCTGCAGAGGAAGTCTTGTCTGTAAGTTAGCTAGGTTTGTGTTCAGAGAGTCTTGTCTGTAAGTTAGCTAGGTTTGTGTTCAGAGAGTCTTGTCTGTAAGTTAGCTAGGTTTGTGTTCAGAGAGTCTTGTCTCTAGATCAGTTAGGTTAGTGTTCAGAGAGTCTTGTCTCTAGATCAGTTAGGTTTGTGTTCAGGAAGTCTTGTCTGTAAGTTAGCTAGGTTTGTGTTCCGAGAGTCTTGTCTGTAAGTTAGCTAGGTTAGTGTTCAGGAAGTCTTGTCTGTAAGTTAGCTAGGTTTGTGTTCAGGAAGTCTTGTCTGTAAGTTAGCTAGGTTAGTGTTCAGGAAGTCTTGTCTGTAAGTTAGCTAGGTTTGTGTTCAGGAAGTCTTGTCTGTAAGTTAGCTAGGTTTGTGTTCAGGAAGTCTTGTCTGTAAGTTAGCTAGGTTTGTGTTCAGGAAGTCTTGTCTGTAAGTTAGCTAGGTTTGTGTTCAGAGAGTCTTGTCTGTAAGTTAGCTAGGTTTGTGTTCAGGAAGTCTTGTCTGTAAGTTAGCTAGGTTTGTGTTCCGAGAGTCTTGTCTGTAAGTTAGCTAGGTTTGTGTTCAGGAAGTCTTGTCTCTAGGTCAGTTAGGTTTGTGTTCAGGAAGTCATGTCTCTGGGTCAGTTAGGTTTGTGTTCAGGAAGTCTTGTCTCTAGGTCAGTTAGGTTTGTGTTCAGGAAGTCATGTCTCTGGGTCAGTTAGGTTTGTGTTCAGGAACTCATGTCTCTGGGTCAGTTAGGTTTGTGTTCAGGAAGTCATGTCTCTGGGTCAGTTAGGTTTGTGTTCAGGAAGTCATGTCTCTAGGTCAGTTTTGTTTGTGTTCAGGAAGTCTTGTCTCTAGGTCAGTTATGTTTGTGTTCAGGAAGTCATGTCTCTGGGTCAGTTATGTTTGTGTTCAGGAAGTCATGTCTCTGGGTCAGTTATGTTTGTGTTCAGGAAGTCATGTCTCTGGGTCAGTTATGTTTGTATTCAGGAAGTCATGTCTCTAGGTCAGTTATGTTTGTGTTCAGGAAGTCATGTCTCTGGGTCAGTTATGTTTGTGTTCAGGATGTCATGTCTCTGGGTCAGTTATGTTTGTGTTCAGGAAGTCATGTCTCTGGGTCAGTTATGTTTGTGTTCAGGAAGTCTTGTCTCTAGGTCAGTTAGGTTTGTGTTCAGGAAGTCATGTCTCTGGGTCGGCTATGTTTGTGTTCAGGAAGTCGTGTCTCTGGGTCAGCTAGGTCAGTCTATGTTGACAAAGTCTTGTCTCTGGGTCAGCTATGTTTGTGTTCAGGAAGTCTTGTCTCTGGGTCAGCTAGGTCTGTCTATGTTGACAAAGTCTTGTCTCTGGGTCAGCTAGGTCTGTCTATTTTGACAAAGTCTTGTCTCTGGGTCAGCTATGTTTGTGTTCTGGAAGTCTTGTCTCTGGGTCAGCTAGGTCTGTCTATGTTGACAAAGTCTTTTCTCTAGGTCGGCTAGGTCTGTCTATGTTGACAAAGTCTTGTCTCTGAGTCAGCTAGGTCTGCCTATGTTGACAAAGTCTTGTCTCTGGGTCAGCTAGGTCTGTCTATTTTAACAAAGTCTTGTCTCTGGGTCAGCTATGTTTGTGTTCTGGAAGTCTTGTCTCTGGGTCAGCTAGGTCTGTCTATGTTGACAAAGTCTTTTCTCTAGGTCGGCTAGGTCTGTCTATGTTGACAAAGTCTTGTCTCTGAGTCAGCTAGGTCTGTCTATGTTGACAAAGTCTTGTCTCTGGGTCAGCTAGGTCTGTCTATGTTGACAAAGTCTTGTCTCTGTGAGAGCTATATGTGTGTTTGTTAGATATTATATATGTGCCAATAAAGTTCTCTCTAGGATTAGTCATGCTTATCTGTGTCGATGAAGTCTTGTTTGTGAGGTCAGCTAGGTCTGTGTCAATGAAGTCTTGTCTTTGAGGTCAGCTAGATCTGTGTCGATGAAGTCTTGTCTTTGAGGTCAGTAAGAACAAATCTGGATGGTAGATGCAGAAGACTAAAGACAGTACTGAAGCTAACAACCATGTCCAACTGTGATGAGGGTGTGTTGTGAACAGAACACTCAATGATGGAGTATGTTGTGAACAGAACACTTAATGATGGAGTATGTTGTGAACAGAACACTCAATGATGGAGTATGTTGTGACCAGAACACTCAGTGATGGAGTATGTTGTGACCAGAACACTCAATGATGGAGGTGTGTTGTGAACAGAACACTCAATGATGGAGTATGTTGTGACCAGAACACTCAATGATGGAGTATGTTGTGACCAGAACACTCAATGATGGAGGTGTGTTGTTAACAGAACACTCAATGATGGGGGTGTGTTGTGAACAGAACACTCAATGATGGGGGTGTGTTGTGAACAGAACACTCAATGATGGGGGGGGGGGGTGTTGTGAACAGAACACTCAATGATGGGGGGGGGGGGGGGGGGGGGGGAGTGTTGTGAACAGAACACTCAATGATGGGAGTGTGTTGTGAACAGAACACCTAATAAAGGAGGGTGTGTTTTGAGCAGAACACTCAATGATGGAGTATGTTGTGACCAGAACACTCAATGATGGAGGTGTGTTGTGAACAGAACACTCAATGATGGGGGGGGGGGGGGGGGTGTTGTGAACAGAACACTCAATGATGGGGTGTGTTGTGAACAGAACACTCAATGATGGGGGGTGTGTTGTGAACAGAACACTCAATTATGGGGGGGGGGGAGTGTTGTGAACAGAACACTCAATGATGGGGGGGGGGGGTGTTGTGAAGAGAACACTCAATGATGGGGGGTGTTGTGAACAGAACACTCAATGATGGAGGTGTTTTGTGAACAGAACACTCAATAAAGGAGGATGTGTTGTGAACAGAACACTTAATGATGGAGAATGTTGTGACCAGAACACTCTTCTTCTTCGTTCACCGGTTAATCGTCCGCTTGGACTTTTGGCTTTTACCTGGACCTGAGTTTTGCGTGTACAACTATTTTGTTGTTCCCTGCCTCATGGGCAGCTGTACTCCGACTTCAAAGGAACCAAAACACTCAATGATGGGGGTGTGTTGTGAACAGAACACTCAATGATGGTGGTGCGTTGTCAACAGAACACTCAATGATGGTGGTGCGTTGTCAACAGAACACTCAGTGGTCATGACAAAATGCAGTAGAATAATTCTGCTCACAGGAAACCAACCTTTGTCCATAGCCAGGTGGAAGCTGCCATCAGCAAATGGCAGATTGGTCACATCCGCACACACAAGATGGCAGCAGGATTCTGGGACTGCAGCAGCCGCAGTGTTCACATGTTGTTTTTGGTAGTGAAGAGCTTCTTGAACAAAGTCCAACAACACCAGTCTGACAGGCACAGGGCTGTTGGCGAGGATAGATCTCCATACGCTAGATGTACCACACCCCAGGTCTAGACAGGAGACAGACTGCTTCTTTCCTGACAGTTGATGTGTGTGCATGCCTGTGTGTGTGACAGAGACAAGAAGAATACTTCAGTAATCATCATCATGTTTAACTTAAAACCATAAGAGTGATTGAAGCATGACAGGGTGGAGAAAAAGTAGTACATTAGATGAACATTGTGTGGTTCTGCGTGTGCATGCACTATAAGAATTGTACAGTTCCTAAGCCCAACATTTATAGATTTTGTTGAAGTGTATCCAGTATTCATTAATACATACCCTTGGTATTTAGCGAGTACAGTTAAAGAGTATCCAACATTCATTGATGTAGATATTGAATGACCAACATTCATTGTACACAACTCGCATAACCAACATTCACTGATACAGATCTTGCATAACTAACATTTAATGATACAATATTCATGTTTAGTAGTAACTGAAATTACTGACATAAGTAGAGAAGAGTAGAAAATACATTCGTCAGGTCTTGTACATTTGGCATAGTCTTGGATTCACCTATCTCTGGGGGCTGCACATGCTGGTGCAACACTCATATTATATCTTGCAGCCACTGACTGCAGACAGTTCACTCACTCATGACCGATCATGCAGACAGTACACTATCTCGTGACCGATCATGCAGACAGTACACTATCTGGTGACTGACCATGCAGACAGTACACTATCTGGTGATTGACCATGCGGACATTACACTCACTCGTGACCGATCATGCAGACAGTACACTATGTGGTGACTGACCATGCAGACAGTACACTCTCTCGTGATTGACCATACAGACAGTACACTCTCTCGTGATTGACCATACAGACAGTACACTCTCTTGTGATTGACCATGCAGACAGTACACTCTCTTGTGATTGACCATGCAGACAGTACACTCTCTTGTGATTGACCATGCAGACAGTACACTCTCTTGTGATTAACCATGCAGACAGTACACTATCTGGTGATTGACCATGCAGACATTACACTCACTCATGACACACCATGCAGACATTACAATCACTGTGACCGACCATGCAGACATTACACTCACTAGTGACTGACCATGCAGACATTACACTCTCTCGTGACCAACCATGCAGACATTACAATCACTGTGACCGACCATGCAGACATTACACTCACTGTGACCGACCATGCAGACATTACAATCAATGTGACCGACCATGCAGACATTACACTCACTGTGACCGACCATGCAGACATTACACTCTCTCGTGACCGACCATGCAGACATTACACTCGCTCGTGACCGACCATACAGACATAACACTCATTCGTAACCGACCATGCAGACATTACACTCACTAGTGACTGACCATGCAGACATTACACTCACTTGTGACCGACCATGCAGACATTACACTTGCTCGTGACCGACCATACAGACATTACACTCATTCGTAACCGACCATGCAGACATTACACTCACTCGTAACCTACCATGCAGACATTACACTCACTCGTAACTGACCATGCAGACATTACACTCACTCGTAACAGACCATGCAGACATTACACTCACTCGTGACCGACCATGCAGACATTACACTCACTCGTGACTGACCATCCAGACATTACACTCACTAGTGACTGACCATGCAGACATTACACTCACTCGTAACCTACCATGCAGACATTACACTCACTCGTAACTGACCATGCAGACATTACACTCACTCGTAACAGACCATGCAGACATTACACTCACTCGTAACAGACCATGCAGACATTACACTCACTCGTGACCGACCATGCAGACATTACACTCACTCGTGACTGACCATCCAGACATTACACTCACTAGTGACTGACCATGCAGACATTACACTCACTCGTAACCTACCATGCAGACATTACACTCACTCGTAACTGACCATGCAGACATTACACTCACTCATGACAGACCATGCAGACATTACACTCACTGTGACTGACCATGCAGACATTACACTTGCTCGTGACCGACCATACAGACATTACACTCATTCGTAACCGACCATGCAGACATTACACTCACTCGTGACCGACCATGCAGACATTACACTCACTGTGACCGACCATGCAGACATTACACTCACTGTGACCGACCATGCAGACATTACACTCACTGTGACCGACCATGCAGACATTACACTCACTCGTAACAGACCATGCAGACATTACACTCACTGTGACCGACCATGCAGACATTACACTCACTAGTGACCGACCATGCAGACATTACACTCACTGGTGACATACCATGCAGACATTACACTCACTCATGACAGACCATGCAGACATTACACTCACTAGTGACTGACCATGCAGACATTACACTCACTAGTGACCGACCATGCAGACATTACACTCACTCGTGACCGACCATGCAGACATTACAATCACTGTGACCGACCATGCAGACATTACACTCACTGTGACCGACCATGCAGACATTACACTCACTAGTGACCGACCATGCAGACATTACACTCACTCGTGACCGACCATGGAGACATTACACTCACTTATGACTGACCATGCAGACATTACACTCACTCGTGACCGACCATGCAGACATTACACTCACTCATGACTGACCATGCAGACATTACACTCACTCGTGACCGACCATGCAGACATTACACTCACTCATGACCGACCATGCAGACATTACACTCACTCGTGACTGACCATGCAGACATTACACTCACTCATGACCGACCATGCAGACATTACACTCACTCGTGACTGACCATGCAGACATTACACTCACTCATGACCGACCATGCAGACATTACACTCACTCGTGACTGACCATGCAGACATTACACTCACTCGTGACTGACCATGCAGACATTACACTCACTCATGACCGACCATGCAGACATTACACTCACTCGTGACTGACCATGCAGACATTACACTCACTCATGACCGACCATGGAGACATTACACTCACTCATGACTGACCATGCAGACATTACACTCACTCGTGACTGACCATGCAGACATTACACTCACTCATGACCGACCATGCAGACATTACACTCACTCGTGACCGACCATGCAGACATTACACTCACTCGTGACTGACCATGCAGACATTACACTCACTCGTGACTGACCATGCAGACATTACACTCACTTATGACTGACCATGCAGACATTACACTCACTTATGACAGACCACGCAGACATTACACTCACTCATGACAGACCATGCAGACATTACACTCACTCATGACAGACCATGCAGACATTACACTCACTCATGACAGACCATGCAGACATTACACTCACTCATGACAGACCATGCAGACATTACATTCACTCATGACAGACCATGCAGACATTACACTCACTCAGGACAGACCATGCAGACATTACACTCACTCATGACAGACCATGCAGACATTACACTCACTAGTGACAGACCATGCAGACATTACACTCACTCATGACAGACCATGCAGACATTACACTCACTCGTGACAGACCATGCAGACATTACACTCACTAGTGACAGACCATGCAGACATTACACTCACTAGTGACAGACTATGAAGACATTACACTCACTAGTGACAGACTATGAAGACATTACACTCACTAGTGACTGACCATGCAGACATTACAATCTATCATGTAACTGACCCTGAGAAGAGTGTTTCATGCTGTGGAGAATAAAGTCCAGGATTTCCGGGGATTCCACGAACCAGTCGAAGCTGAGATCTTTTGAGGGCTGCCTGTAGCGCTGCTGCCAGTACTCGTGTTTGCTGAGATACTCATCTGTGCTGTGACCTGCACACATGTGAACATGCTGTGACCTGCACACATGTGAACATGCTGTGACCTGCACACATGTGAACATGCTGCATTGTAAACCCCTGCACAGTCACTCACTTGTATGTCTACAACTGTGAGCCGACTCATTTGCAGGTGCTCAGTCTGTTATATGTACACACACACACAAACATATATGTGTGTGTGTACAAATAACAGAGACTGAGCACCTGTAGAGATGAAGAAGAAACACTATTCTGCAAAATGGAATTCTGGAAACCACATAAAGGGAGTGTGAATCAACCTGCATATTTGTTCACAAAGAAAATTGATGAGAAATATTCAGCAAGTGTGGGATAGCAGTGAGGAGTGGACGATGTCACTTACTCTGGGAGCAAACTCTTCTTCTTCATGTTCACCTGCTCTAGAATCGGGTGGACAGTTTTGGCTGTAACGTCCTCTTCTTGACTTGATGTGTACATCCACTTTACAGATCTGACTTTGTTGCATGCAGACTGTGGATTCCTTATTTTTTTTTCTTTTTCTTTGTGTGAACAGGACAGGACAAAACTGCATTTTATCACATGAAGAACATTTGATGCAATAAATCCATGTCATTGGAAGTCAGGAAAAGAATTCTTGCATGCTATTTAGAGCCAGTTTTAACATGCAGCTGTGAACCCTGGATAATTATTAAATAAGCCAAACCATGTCTTTAGGTTTTACAGAATTCTTGGGACAGGCAAAAAGAGTGACCCAGATGTTTTGAGGGAGGCAAGGGCAAAAAGAAAGAGACTGTCATAATTTTTTGGTCGTGTTATGAGAAGGAAACTGGAACATGTCGGAACCACTGGAAAGACAGACAAAGGAAGACAGCGTGAGAAAATTCTTGACAGTCTCCTGTTATGGCATGGAGTGGTGTCAGCACATGAACTGATGATACTATTACAGTGATCATGCTGTTGAAGAATACAGATGGTAGAGTGGTATGATCTCCCACGGCAGTCAGCAGGGCATTTTATATATTGTTGTATTGAGATTGTTGTCAACTAGAAAGAAATATGGTGTCGGTCATAAATAAAAATTTGCTGAAAGGATTTACAGAATGGCACGGAAAACTTGCAAAGGCACGAGCGAAGAGGATATGTTTTGTGATTGTGACGGTGACACAAGATTTCCAGAGCCCTTCCTTTTCAACTGAAATTGAGTATGAGGAATGTCCACTCTATGCTGTCGAAAGGCATTCCTAGAGTTGATTAGAAGAACTGAGAAAGTCTGACTACAATTATATACAGTACAACATACTAGAGGACAAGATAAGAGGCCGGCGTATCTGAAGACTAAGGGCTGCAGTATTGTGCAGCCATCTTGTGATCATGGAGGCTGCCATCTTTGATGCATAAGCGGGAGTGCTCTCCCCTGCTAAAGACCGGCCTGAAGACCAGTGTTGTTCAAGCCACGGGCCGCGGCTCACCGGTGGCCTGGGGACAGTTCTATTTTGGATACATTCCCAACAGTTCACCACGGGACATTCCAATATTTTCGATGGTGGTAAGAATGGGCTTTTCCGCTGTCTATGTGTCTTCCGCCAAAAGACTGGAAGAGAACTATCTTCATTCCAATACCAAAAAAGGGTGACCTGAAATTATGTACAAACTATCGAACTATTGCCCTGATCAGTCATGCAAGTAAAATTCTACTAAAAATTATAATGAGAAGACTGCAAAAGAAAATGGAAGAAGAGATTAATGTAGCTCAGGCTGGATTTAGACAGGGAAGAGGAACAAGAGATCATATATTTAACATGCGTTTAATAATAGAGAAGTGTAGAGAATTTAATGTAAATCTGTTCTTATGTTTTGTGGATTATTCAAAAGCATTTGACTGTGTACAACATCAGAAGCTTTGGGAAATCATGAGGAATATGGGCTTTCCATCACATATAGTGCAGCTCATTAAAATGCTCTATCAAGACCAACAAGCAGCAGTCAGAATAGATGGAGAGACATTAGACTGGTTTGGCATCAAGCAAGGAGTCCGTCAGGGATGTGTGCTGTCACCGTATTTGTTCAACCTGTACGCCGAAAATATAATGAGAAATGTAAGAGATGATATAAACAAGGAACAATATGATGCCCTAAACATCGGTGGTCATGAAATACCAGAAATTCGTTATGCTGATGATACAGTATTACTATCAACATCACAAAATGGTTTAGAAAACTTATTAACCTCACTCCAAAGAAATAGTGAAAATCATAACTTATTTCTTAACACAGCAAAAACAAAGATAATGCATACAAACAAAACTGCCATGGAGAAGGAAATATATGTTAATGAGGAAAGATTGGAAGTGGTGGAAAATTTCGAATATCTTGGGTCACTGGTTACCAACAATGGTGACACAATGAAAGAAATTAAACGGCGACTATCAATTGCTCTTCAAAGACTAAAACAACTGAATAAATTATGGAATTGTACAGATAGAATTACAAAGGTCAGATTTTTAAGAGCATGCATCTTTCCCATTGCAACATACGCCTGTGAGACCTGGACACTTACTAAACAAGCGGAGCAGCGCATAAATGCATTTGAATATAAATGTTACAGACAGGTTCTAAGAATATCTTGGGTAAAGAAAAGAACAAATGCATCCATACTTCAAGAGCTGAATATTGAAGAGGGTTGGCTAGTAAAGACAAAAAAACAAAGAAAATTGAAATATTTTGGTCACTTGAAACGTCATGGAGGTCTAGAGAGAACAATAATGGAGGGGTATATGCCTGGGAAGAGAGGAAGAGGAAGGCCAAGGAGAAGATGGGTGCAGGATGTGGCAGATGATCTCCAGATGGGTGTATCAGACGCAGGACATCTTGCTCATGATAGGAAGGTTTTCCGGAGGGTTGTTATGGCAGCGAGGTTCCGCGAGGGACATGCTACTGAATGAATGAATGTGTCTTCCAGTGCGTTGCCAAGGTTCAGGCGCGTTTCTTGCATCTTTGCAGCGACTTGTAGTGTCATCTCCAGCGACGACTTCTGTGAACGAGTGTATTCACAACAGTGGGTATTTGGTGGCGTCTGTCTCGAATCCTGTCTGTATTCCAGACAGAAAAGCAGAGACGCTTCTGCCGATCTTTAGCACAAACATAAGACCTGGCACACGACAGTAGTCTTCGACCTGTAGTGTGCGAACAATGGAATTGAGAATATCCCTGGATTGACGCACATCACCGTCAAACACTCCATCCATTTTGTCGACCCTAGCGCAGGTGCGTGTGCATCGAGCGCTTGTGGGGGTCAGCAAAGGAAAAAAACAAGCGTCAGAATGGGACACACAAACACTTATTAGAGTCTTACATGTGTGCGTTTCTGTGACGTAGAAGCGCTCAACAACATTCGACATTTTTGCATTCTGGACACCAGAACAATAGTCTGTCGTCTCTGCTGCTGCTGCAACAACAAATGCAGCATTCCGACATCTCTCCAGATCTACTAACGTGAACAATTGTTCTGACTGTGAATCCGTGCGTGAACCCAGCAGAACACATCTAGAATGACTTGTTAAGGCCGCCCCCACAGTACCCCAATTAGTGATTGTCCGATTGCAGACAAGAGTTCCACACAAACAAATTGCAAAACAGCAACAACAACAAACCGACCCCAAAACATCTACAACTGGCCCTAATCCCCAACCCACCTACGTCCCACGAGAGAGTGCAGTAGCTTAGGTTCTCCTCCCCATCAACAGACAAAGAAACAACCACAAAAACTGCATCATCCCCACTGCACCAGCACATAGAAAAATGCGCGCGCACACACACAAAGCAAACTAAACTGCACTGCACAAAACTGCACAGCAAATGAAAGGCCAAATGACTACACTATACAACAGCCCCTGAAATATTAGACTTCTCTTGATCTGCGGATTTCGAGTGTTTGTGGTGAATTATTGAGATAGAACCCAATTTTGGCCGCCTAAACAAATTTCAACACAACTATTCGTCATTTAAAGACATTAACTTAAAACTGATAATTATTTCTCTAAAAATGAGGATCGTCGTCCAGTTTTTTTTTTGTTTTTTTTGGCCGCAGGTGTCAGAGGATGAAAAACACTGCTGTAGATTGGCTGCCCCTGAATTTGTATAGAGAATCTAATATATAATGATGATTCACTGTCAAAGGGCAGGGGGCGCCGTGGTTAGACTCTCGGCTGCGGATCCGAGGGTAGAGGGTACGAATCCGAACGGAGCACGACCTTTTTTCCAAAATGACTTTGGCTATCTGACCCAGCCTTAAAAGGGGACATGGTAAAGTCCTGGGAAGTAAAGATGGTCGGCGTGATGCTGACCACATCACCCACCGAGTGCCGATTGGTCTATAACATACAGGTATAGCCCTATATGTCTCAAGGTGTGGAGAAGGATCCAGTATTTACTTGTACCCCCTACAGGATGGAGAGAGGTCTAGTATTTACTTGTACCCCCTACAGGATGGAGAGAGGTCTAGTATTTACTTGTACCCCCTACAGGATGGAGAAGGGTCCAGTATTTACTTGTACCCCCTACAGGATGGAGAAAGGTCCAGTATTTACTTGTACCCCCTACAGGATGGAGAGAGGTCTAGTATTTACTTGTACCCCCTACAGGATGGAGAGAGGTCTAGTATTTACTTGTACCCCCTACAGGATGGAGAGAGGTCTAGTATTTACTTGTACCCCCTACAGGATGGAGAAGGGTCCAGTATTTACTTGTACCCCCTACAGGAATGAGAAAGGTGCAGTATTTACTTGTACCCCCTACAGGATGGAGAGAGGTCTAGTATTTACTTGTACCCCTTACAGGATGGAGAAGGGTCCAGTATTTACTTGTACCCCCTACAGGATGGAGAACGGTCCAGTATTTACTTGTACCCCCTACAGGATGGAGAGAGGTCTAGTATTTACTTGTACCCCCTACAAGATGGAGAAAGGTCCAGTATTTACTTGTACCCCCTACAGGATGGAGAGAGGTCTAGTAATA